GAGCTTGTGGTCTAGTGCTTTAGAGAAAATAATGAGCATATTTATCTTATTACTATGCATTCAGCGTTAAGTCCAGAAAAAAAGTAATGTAAACCTAGTCTATGACTGAATGGAGGAGACAGGACATAAAAAAGCTGCAATGCGAAACCAGTTTGGCTCAGTGGATAGAGCGTCTGCCTGCGGACTGAAGGGTCCTGGGTTCGATTCCGGTCAAGGGCATGTACCTTGGTTGCAGGCACATCCCCAGTGGGAGGTGTGCAAGAGGCAGCTGATCGATGTTTCTCTCTCATCGATGTTTCTAGCTCTCTGTCCCTCTCCCTTCCTCTCTGTAAGAAATCAATAAAAAAGCTGCAATGGTTAGGGAATACAATGATCATGTGTGTATCGGCATTGCTTCTGTTCAGATGAAGTGCTGAGCAGTGCATTGCAGGCAATTAGAAGCTGCAGCCATCCAGGGCAGTGGTTGGCAAACTCATTAGTCAACAGAATCAAATATCAACAATACAATGATTGAAATTTCTTTTGAGAGCCAAATTTCTTAAACTTAAACTTCTTCTAACGCCATATCTTCAAAATAGACTCGCCCAGGTCATGGTATTTTGTGGAAGAGCCACACTCAAGAGGCCAAAGAGCTGCATGTGGCTCTCGAGCCGCAGTTTGCCCACCACGGGTCCAGGGGAAGATGCACAGCAGAGAGAGGCAGGAGGTGCCGAAGGTTCAATAGCAACAGGTCCCTCTGAGGAGTCATCTGTGAATGTGATGAATCACAGAGCTGTGGGCGCATCCAGTCTTGCGAACATCCCCGTCTAGGTGAGGTGTTGCTGTGATGTTCTTTCCTCATCTAACATCTGTCACAACTTCCAAGATGGAATAAAAACTTGCTTTTCATTGTGAATAATGGAAGGAAGGAGAAAAGGCAGCCACTGTGGTTGGTGATGGAAATAATGGAGAAATGAAGAGGTGGAGGGAAATTGAGGGCTCTTACCTAGAAAACACTTCTTGAAATGACTTTAATCTTGCTCTCAGAGAATCACTAAGGGTTTCACTTTTAAATTTTTTATTGAATTTATTGGTATGGCATTGGTTAATGAAATTATTTAGGTTTCAGGTGTATAATTGTATAATAATCATCTGTGTATTGTATTGTATGTTCACCAGCCCAAGTCAAGTCTCCTTCCATCAGCATTTACCCCCTGTACCCTCTTCCACTTCCTTCCACCTCCTTTCCCTCTGGTCACTGCCATACTGTTGTCCATGTCTATGAGTTGGTTTTTCTCTGCTCAATCCTTTTACTTTTTATTTTTTATTTTTTTACCCAGCCCCTAATCATCCTCCCCTCTGCCAGCTGTCAGTGTGCTCTCTGTATCTATCGGGTCTAGTAATAATTGATGTCGTTTTTAAACATTCGTTTAAAATCTTGCTTGGCGTTGACTTGTATTGACATAACCTTCAAACACGTGGTATCTACAGAACATGTGAAGTGCAATTAACAAGTTTTGCTTGAAAAAGTTTGTGTTTGGTTTGGTTTTTGTTGCCAAACTAGGGCTAAGAAGATGGCAGATGAAGAGCATATTCGGCACTGCATGCTTTACGAGTTCCAATTAGGAAGAAAAGCAAGTGAGGCTGCAAAAAACATCTGTAGTGCTCTTGGTCAAGATGCAGTTAGCGCCAGAAAATGCCAGCGTTGGTTTGAGAAATTTCGCGAGGGAAATTTTTCGTTAGATGACAAGAGTGGTCGAGGCCGTGTGTCCAATTTTGATCAAGAAGCTCTTCAAGCTCTTTTGGTGCAAAATCCTCAAATTACCCAACAAGAGCTTGCGACAACTTTAAATTGTTCACAAAAAACAATTTCCAATCAATTGCGTGCACTTGGCAAAGTCCAAAAGTTTGGAAAATGGGTTCCTCATGAGTTGACCGACAACAACCGTAATCAAAGAGTCACAATTTGCAGTTCGCTCCTCTCTCGTCAAAACCGTTTGCCGTTTTTAGAGCAAATTGTTACCGGAGATGAAGAATGGGTGCTATATGTTAATTTGAAAAGGCAGCCTCAATGGTTGGACAAAAATGAGGCTCCGCAGCCCACGCCAAAACCTGACTTGCATGCGAAAAAAGTGATGTGTGTTTGGTGGAATTTTAAAGGAATTCTTCATTATGAACTTTTACCATCTAACCAAACCATTACAAGTGCAGTGTCTAGTGCCCAATTGGAAAGGTTAGCCCAAGCTTTAAGAGAAAAAGAACCCACGCTGATTAATCGGAAGGGCGTAATTCTTCACCACGATAACGCACGACCGCATACTGCAAGAATCACTGCTGAAAAACTGCGCCAGTTGGAATGGGAAGTTCTCCCTCAACCTGCATATTCTCCTGATATTGCCCCTTCCGATTACCATTTGTTTCGTTCTTTGCAAAACTTTCTTCTTGGAAAAAAATTTAATAATGAAGAATGCCTCAAAAATGCATTGACTGAATTTTTTGCATCAAAATCACAAGAATTTTACAACAGAGGGATTAAAATGCTTCCTGAGCATTGGGCACAAGTAGTAGAAAACAACGGAAACTATATTGTTGATTAAATTTTGTTGTATTGTTTAAATAAATTCGATTTAAAAAAGTATTAGAAAACGACATCAATTATTACTAGACCTAATATGAGTCTCTTCTATTGATACTTTGTTTATTAGTTTACTAGGCACCTGATGCAGGAATATTCCTGTAAGACTTCTGGTGGGCTCCCCTCCCATCACCCCACTTCTCCCACTGCACCCGCGGCCACCCCGTCACCATTTCCAAGGCTACGTGCTCTGCCATCATGGCTGTGCACCTCGCCCTGCACCCTTGACCAGCTGCCACCGCCTGGGGGGCCACATACACCGCTGTTGCTCGCCTTGCCCCGCCCACCTTCCCGGCTCCACCCACCCACCGCCCTCACTGCCTCCAGCGGCCTTGCATCACCACTACTCATCTAGCCCTGCCCCACCCTGAACGCACTGCTAGTGCTTTCCCTCCAGCAGCCGCAGCCGCAGCCACCTTGCTTTCCACTTTCCCTCCCTCTTCCTTTTATGCTGTCTTCAGTTTTTACTCCTCCCTCTGTGTATGCAAATTAACCACTATTTTTGTTGGGTTAATTTGCATACTCGCTCTGAATGGCTGGTGGGCATGGCTTGTGTAGCTGAGTGATGGTTAATTTGAATATTACTCTATTATTAGGTTAGATTTTTGTTCATTAGATTCCACATATAAGTGAAATCATATGATATTTGTCTTTCTCTGACTGGCTTATTTCACTTAGCATAATACTTTCTGTATTGCCATCCATGCAATGGCAAAAAGTAATATTTCCTTATTTTTTAATGGCCAAGCAGTATTCCATTGTGTAAATATACCACATCTTTTTTGTTGTGTTGTTAATCCTCACTTGAGGATATTTTTTCCATTGACTTTTAGAAAGAGTAGAAGGGAGGGGGAGAGACAGAGTGAGAGAAACATCAATGTGAGAAAGACCTTCAGTCCACTAGGGGCTGGCACTCTACCCACAGAGCCAAACCAGCTAGGGCACCACAGCTTTTTATCCACTCATTTACTGATTTCAAACCTTGGTGATTTTAAGTAATGCTCCAACAAAACATAGAGGTGTGTACAGGGATGGGCAAAAGTAGGTTTACAGCTGTATAGATACAAAAAACAGAGTTTATTCTTGTATTATTATTTATTAACTAGAGGCCAGGTACATGAAATTTGTGCACAGGGGTGGTGGTGGGAGCTGTGTCCCTCAGTCCAGCCTGCACCCTCTCCAATGTGGGATCCCTGGAGGGATGTCTGACTGCCTATTTACCAGGATCGGGCCTAAACAGGCAGTCGGACATTCCTCTCACAATCCAGGACTGCTGGCTTCAAACCATTCATCTGCCTGCCTTCCTTCCAGATTGCCCCTAACCGCTTCTCCTGCCAGCCTGATTGCCCATAACTGCCCTCCTCTGCATGCCTGGTCACCCCTAATTGCCCTCCCCTAACAGCCTGGTCACCCCTAACTGCCCTTTCCCTCCAGCCTCATCGCCAGCAAGGAGACAGGGGAGGGAGAACGTGCTGGAAGTTTTATCAGCAGTGGGTGCCCACATGGTCTGTCTTATATTTCCCCTCACTCCTTTCCTATCTCCCTTCTTCCCTTCTTCACTTTCCTACTTTTCTATCTCGCCTTCCTTGAGCTGCTTTCCCCCTCATCCTCTTCTCTCCTGGCTTCCACTTTGCCTACGACACTGGAATTTCATGGAGATGTCTGGCTCAGCCTTCTCCATCCACTTGCCTGAGGCTCAGAGGGGCAAATATCTGCCCAAGAGTAGCCGGTTAAGTGACAGCCAGAGATTGCAGCTCTCCTGGGCCCAGGTCTGGGCTGATACTGCCCTTCTGCATTTGCTTCCCTTTTCCCCACACCCACCACCTTAAGGCCAGCAGGGCCACAGATGGAAGCGAGGGCAGGTAGAAGTGCTGTCTCCCTCCCTTCCTCCACCACCACCCATTCCCGTTCTTTTTTTCTCTCTCCCTCTCCTATTTCTACCCCAGCAACATAATTGGGTTCCAGATCTCCACACTCTATCAAAATAGGGAAGGGGGACTGATAAAGTCATTTACATCAGGTGTAGCTTGCCAAGACGATTTAATGCAGGGGTGGCAACCTGTGTCTCTCCAGAGCCCACTCTCAGGAAGGCTGAATCTATCCGCTAATATTAGATTCAGAGGCTGATGGGTCTCTAGACAGAAGTGAACCCTATTGGCTGGGAACAACAGGCCAGTGGCTCTCCCTGTCCTGAGCATCCTTGCTTCTGACGTGTCTGCTTCAGAAGTGAGGACAGAGGCTTAAGTAAGAGGTTGTGCCTCTGATGGTGGAGTTTAGGTAGTGTTAGCTGGAGAGAGAAGGAGCCATATGTCTGCAACCACCACCCACGTAAGGACAGTCTTCTCCCCACCCTCTTCCAGCCAGTCATAAAAACAAACACCCCAAATTCCAAACTGCATTTTTATTATTTTTTAATAAACTTTATTCTATATTACAAATAAGTTTTTTTTTGTTCTGAACTGCAAAATAGGAATGCCTTATATTTACATACACAGGTATACAATTAATTATAACAAAGGTACAGGAGCTTGCCTTTACCAAGTTACAACTGGGCTCCAATTGAAATAGTATAGGTTTCCTTTTTAAAAACTTTTTTTAAAATCTTTTTTTTGTTTGTTTTTAAATCTTACTAGGATACTCTTCTTTAAAAATCAAAACCAGAAGACCCTCATCCTCTAATAGATTCCTCCCACCTATCTTTGAGGCTCATTATAACACTGTTGTCTAAAGATATGTTTTGCTTTGTTCTCAGGCTCAGTGTTCAAGGTGGGAGCTTTATGGAACCGGAAGTGGGTTGGGGCTGGAATGGGTGACAGGGGCAGGAGCGACCTGCCTTTCCTCCTTCAGCGGCCTCTCTCTGAGACTCAAAGTCTCCTGCCTGTTCCTTGTACCACCCATTCATCCTTCCCTGTTCCTCCTCTTCCCTCCAGTCCTGGAGACTTAACTCTGGGTCATCTGACCAGGCAGACTCCTCTCCCCCATGCCTGGCTCACTGAGCCATTGTCTGTTGTGGTACCCTGGAGTTCCTGGTCACTATGGCAACCTGGCAGGGCCCTGCTGGAAGAGATAGGCTGGTCCCTGTAAGTAAAGTGGGGAGGAGGGTAGCTGCATCCAATCTCTTCTCCCCATCTCAGGGACTGGGTTCTTGTTATTGGTCAGTGCAGCCGACACATGACTCCGCCAGGACCTCCGGCCTCAAGGCCACTGTGCCCAGACAGGGAGTTTTGGAGGGGAAGGTTGTCCACTCTAAAACGCAAAGTCATTGGTTTCCAAATGGAAACAAGATTCTTTGAGGTAAACTAGCTTTTCTTTTTAAAGAACGGAAAGTTTGACGAGCCAACAAGCTGACAGGAACATTGGGGAAGGGAAAGAGAACACAGGGGGACACGTACCATCTTGGTCACAGGGACTGAATTGTGACCACTAGTCCTGCTTTGTAAAGTGGTCTCGGTTTCTTAGTGCCCTTTGCATTGGTCTTAATATACCCTCTGTTCCGAGTTCTACAAAATGTGCTTGAGTCGGAAGATCAAAGATACGAACAAAAGAAGTTCTAATGCCAGGTAAAGAGCCCTGTGGAAGATGAGCTGCGGGTGACCTGCCTACTAGCCAGGAGCATGTGCCTTCTGGGGGAGAGGGCGGGCCCTCCATGACCAATGCCTTGCAGGGGCTCCCTGAAGGTTGGGGGAGCTGAGAAAAAGGCGGGATTCAGCATCAGGGGCAGCAGAGACAAAGCTGGACAGAGTGTAGGGGTGGAGGGGCGGGAATGTAGGGCCACGGACCCCGGACACTAGACCCAGGCCCACCTCACTCTCTCTGCCAATACAGATAGAAAGCTCTTTTTATGCATCAGGGTTTGGTTTTGTTTAGGTTTGCTTTGGAGTAGTCACTAGTCTACTCAAGGAATTTAACTGGACTCTAAATAGGTATTTCGTTTACAACCCAAAAAATCCTATATACTTTATGAAGTTGGATACTCTCCCTAGTAAAAAATAATTTTACTGGGAAGCAAAGACTTTTAGTAAAAAAAAGAAAAAGGTCTCTCATGAGACTTTTCCTGCAGACATTCCTTTCCACAAAAGAGGGCCGGGCACCTCGCTTCCTAGGGGAGGCTTTGCCCACCTGCGAGCACCAGGAGGAGACGGTCACAGCGGGACCTTCGGACTGGCCGGTAGTTTTGCTTCTCCCTCCTCGCTAGTAATTTGGACTTTATATCCACACCTGTGCTCCCTCCTTAATCTTAGACACTTAAAATATATAGAGAAAAAATAAAAAGCTACGAAGCCGTCAATAAGCAGGCCACATCCAGTTTAAAGTAAAGGGAGGAGCTGGGGCTCAGAGGAGGGATGTGGTTATGGAGGTGGACACTGACTCCCTGGACAGGAGGGAAGACCAGGACGGAGCCAGGATCTGCCTGGGTGTGTGTGTGTTTCGGGGGGGGGGGGGTGTCCCTGGGGCTGAGTCTTCTCTGGGAACATGTGGGGACTCCGGCATTGTGGGCCATTCCTGGAAGGACCAGAAGGAAAATGCCATGGACCTCTGCCTGCAGAGCCCACCCTGTGCCTTCCCTCCATCCTGGGCTCTCCGTGAGGCGGAAGTGTTTGTTCTTGATGAGTGATGATCAACTTGAACCTTCTGAGATGAGCTTAAGTACTTGACTTTGCATCCTGTGAAACCAAGAATGTGCCCGCACCCCCTCCCCTCCAGTCCCAAGAAAGGAGACCGATGGGGAAAGGGCTTTCCTTTTAGGTCAAAGCAGCATCAGCAGGACCTGCCTCACACCCAGAGTGGAGGTCATTTGGGTCTTGGTTGCTGGGGCTCCTCTGACAGGGGTCCTGGCTGGAGGCAGTGTGGGGAGGAGGTGGGCCTGAGGCAGTCAGAGGGCTGGGCTGTGAGGGTGGAGCTGCCCAGGGGCTCAGTGGTACGTTAGTGGACACTAGCCCTGGGGCAGAGGCTACATGTGCAGGAGGGGCAGGAGGGACAGAAGGGAGGCACACTCAGAAGCCATACATGCAAGGGGACATGAGCACAAGGACCTTGGCTTGGGAACGTGACAGGGGTTGGGGCAGGGGTTCTGGGACAGAACATGGACATTCACCCCCGGCTGGGAGGTGAGGGGACAAGGTCAGTGACCTCACCACTGGGCACAGTCCTGGACAGTCTGCCTCAAACTTTGGGATTTAGGATTTATTTAAAATGACTCTCTCTCTCTCTCTCTCTCTCTCTCTCTCTCTCTCTCTCTCTCTCTCTCTCTCTCTCTCTTTCTCTCTCTCTCTTAAACAGCTCAGGCCTCTCACCGGCCCGCATGCTCTGGGAGCTCCTATGGGTGTGCGTGTCATTCTGGGGGTAGGTATGAACAGACCTTCACCTGTGGGACACTCAGGTGGTCTCCAAATGTAAAACCACATTGAAAGAAGAAGGCAAGAAAAAATATTTTCCTGAGGAAGTCACGGACACCATAGCCAACTTCACATAATGGTACCATTTGTAGTTACCAACAAATGCAGTGCCTCTCTTTACAAGAAGTGGCAAACCCTATACCTGGGTGGACTTGTATCCCCTACCCCCTAGAAATGATCCACCTGCTGCTTCTGTGTACCCATTCTCTTATGTTCAGGACCCTGCAAAGCTGCCCCGCTTCCCACCCTACCAGCCCTCAGCTCATCTGCCCTCAGTTTAAAACCCTCAGCTACGCCAGGCCAGTTATTTTGACTGTGTCGTCTCCTCGTACCGTTTTGACCTTGGTGGTTTCCAGGGGAGGGGAGAAGGAGAGGGGTACAAGTAGTCTTTGCCCAGGACTCCAGGGATCATATAAAGGTCCCACCTTAAACAGAACCGTGACCCTGCTAAGTGAACTGTGCCAGAGGAGAGGCGTGAGGGGACCTCCCTCCCTTCCCCAGGCCTGCGTGGGTGCGTGCGGTCCCCATTCTGCCTGGGCAGCTCTCAGGCCTCCCAAGGGCAGTTTTGGAAAGATTTGGGGGAAAGAATAGCTTTGCTTTTGCTTTGAAGCCTATCACACGTGCACCAAGAACCCAAAGGAAAGAAATGGAAAACAAACAAACAGCCAAAGGGAAGAATTTCACCGAGCAGGGCCAGATGGGTTGTCCTGTCTCTCCATCCTTAAGTCCCCGCCAGGCCACCGGGACTGTGGGCAAAGCTCCAGCAACAAACCCTTCCATCAACTAAAGAAAAACCTGCCTGGCCTCCTCCCTCGGAGAAACGAGGAGAGCAGGGAAGCCCGTCCCTTCTTCTCTCCCCTTCGTCCTGACACTTACGTTTCTCCGAGGTGTTCGAAGTTCCTCTTACAACAAAAACATGGAAAGAAAAGTCTGTACCGACAAAGGAACAATACCAATAATAATAACCCAGTAAAAAATAGAGGCTTCAGCAGAACCATGGCAACAGTCTTTGTTTTCTGCTTGTTCATTTTTTTTCTCTATCTGTGCAAAACGTAAAAAATAAGTAAAAACACACTCATATGCACACACACACACACACACACACACACACACACACAATTTCCATTCAGCAAATCTGTGTTAAATATGCTTGTGTCTCTCTCCTCCCCAATCCTTGACATGTGCAAAAATATTTTAGTGGCCGAGCTGCCTCCTCAGCCCGCCTCCCACATGCTTCCCTCCTGGTCTGCCAGGGCGCCTGGCTTCTTGGGAGAAAAATCAAATGATTAGGGTAGAAATTCCATAATTCCATGCTTCTTCACCTGGCACTTCATTTGCCAAAACCTTTGGTTATTTTTCCCCCTTGACATGCATCTTTCCCCATTCTCCTCTTCCCATTTGTTAGGTTTCTCATGTTTTGTCCACCGTGTGTGCTCCCTGATGCCACGTGATGCCCTGTTCTGGGTCACCACTGCCTGGCCCCCAGTCAAGTCCAGGCCTCTCTCGGCCTGTGACCACCCTGATTTCCTATGGACAGGTGACCTCTCGTTGCACTCACCAGCACTCAGTATAGAAAGCAAGTGTTGAAATGTCCTGGGAGCTGCAGGATGAACTGATGACCAGGGGCAGAGAAGGAAAGAAACATTTCAATATCCCCCTACACAGGACAAGAAATCCTTCTGAGCTCTCTGCCTACTAGGGTGCACACACGTACACACACACGTGCACACGTGTGAGCTCACACACATGCACACATATTCATATCCAAAGGGGTGAGCCTTCTTAAAAGTACATGATGTTCCATGGACAGTTGGAAATGATGTGGTTCCTTCCCCTTTCCACTTGGGGCTTCTGTGAGTGGATGACAAGGAATGATGTTTGACGCCGCAGATGTGAAGGGAAGACTCGCTCCCAACCCCACCTTGAATGGTGCTTTTCCTTGTCCCCCAGCGTGGTGTGCAACTGGACACCAGGCGTGCCATGGCCTCCATGGTCCCTTCACAATTCCAGGTTTCCATGACTCTCATTAGAGCATCTCTCACCGTAGTCCATGCTCACCTGGCTGGCTAAAATGATGTATCCATAGATGGAAGGACAGATGGAGAGACAGATGTCAGGGCTAAGGTCAGTTGTATGTTCCTGCTCTGATTTCTGGCCATGACCTTCAGCTTGACTCTTTGGTCCTCCCAGACCTGACAAGCCAGGGGCTGAGTTTGCCTGTCATTTTGATTGGTCTCCATGAGGCTGTGCTTGGGTGCATTTCCTTCAGTGATGACTGCTAAGAGATGAGAGAGGAAAGTGGCTAAAGAGACAACTGAGATGCTAATGAAATAATAGCCCAGGAGGTCTGGACAGTCCAGTGACAAAGTTATCCATACAGCAATGGCCGCGGATTCTGCAGGCTGACAGAGGCTAGGCTGTCTGCCCCAGCCTTCTGTAGAGTTGTCAGGAAGCATGGTGGAGATGGAGCCATGGAGACGGCTGGAGGTAGAATCTCCTGGATGCACTCTGCATTCTATGTTGACCCTCAATGAGTGATGACCGAGGGGGATGGAGGTGCCTTCTCTAGACGAGGACCTGGCAATGGTACACCTGCGACTATGGTTGGGATGCACTTGCACTGGGGGGTGAATGGAAAACAACAAATTCTGCTTCCAGGGTAGATGAACTCTCCTCTTCTCACCCTCCATGTGACATTTCTGCCACTAGAAGCCAGAGGAGAAGGATAGGAGTATCCCCATGGTGGAATGTAACTGCTATTCTTCTCTTGTCGGGCTTTCCACAGGCAGGGGACGAGGCTTGGCAGGCAGGTCCCTCTGGGCATTTGGAAGAACTCCAAGAAAACGGGAAGGGACAGGGAGGCCTCTGGATGCTAACCCAGCAAGTGACAGACAGCTCACCAACTCCTCAGCCCCTGCCCCCAACGCTGGTCATATGTAGGAGGTATGGCCTTTCTTCTCACAGTTGCAAAGGGATCATACCACCGACTGACCCCTTGGGATGGAAATGGGGGGAAGTAGAGCCAGTTGATGTCTTCCCAGCAAAGATAATACTGAGCTCACTGCCTCTTCTCCAGGCCAAAGTTCGGACCGATGTGGGGCTCGCAGGAAGTGGAAGGTGAAGTAGCAGCATACTAGTAGACACGGCCTCTATCCATGGCTCCTCATCCATCTGTGGGCCCTGGTGCTGATGCGTGGGGTCAGCCGGGAAAGAGCCCCCTCTGGAATCTTCTGGTCCAGTCCCTCTCTTCAGGACTGGCCATCCAGGACTAGCTGAGGGTTGGTGGGTTGCTTCAAGTGTATTAGCCAAGCAACTGAAAGAGAAGGGATCCAGGAAGGAGGGAGAGACAGAAAAAGGCAAAGAGAGAGCGAGAAAAAGAGACAGTGCTGCTCAGGGGATGCTGCTGACGCCAGTCGGAACTTGCACTTGGTAAAGATGATAATCTAGACTGAGGCACGGCTTGGTGTGTCCCTCCTTCCAGGGGGGGTGCCTGGAAGGACGGTTCTCAGCTGTCTAAGCTCAAGAGGGTTATGACTTGCTCTAGTTTGTAGGCCAGTTTCTGCTTCCCACATTGGTCATCGTGGTCCAGAGGTCCGAGGATCTGTGGAAAGGGCGAGAACGGGGAGGTTACCATTTGCATGTGTATATGTTCTGTGTTCTTAGGATGCACGCAGACGGGGGATGGAGTCAGAGGTGTGGAAAAACGTGCACATGAAGCTGCTGGGTAGACAGACGGCCTAAGGAACAGGGATGGGGAATGTGGAGGGACAACATCTGGGCACCCGTTTGCCAATGAATACAGGATGTCAGCACATAGATCAGCATGTCTGAGTAAACATGTACATTTCACTGCCCACGTAGGACAGCTGACAGTGGGCAGAAGACACCTGCGCAAGGATGCTCCAGATACCTGCATGTTACACCTCAGGCAGCTCCAGACCCCACCATCTTGGGGGAACGTGATTTTGCAGATATTAAGAAATTCCCCACCCAATAAAGGAAAGCCTTAACCCATTGGCTTCACTTCGTCTATTAAGAAACAAATACCACTAGAAGCTTAATATATCTTAAGATTAGTCATTAGCACCTAATGGATAATATCTGCTAAAACCTTTCCTGAGTTCAGGTGGCTGGTGGAGGAAAATGACCATGAGCGTTTGTGGCCCGGGAAGAAAAATTGGAATTTGACTTAGACTCAGGGTTTGAATAAGGGGTCTGCCAGTTTCTAGCTGGGTGATCTGGGATGAAACAAGCATGTATCTCTCTGAACCCCATCTTTGTTACTCATTTCCTCATCTGCACAATGTGGGAACTACCAGCCCCCTCTGGGCTGCTCCAGGGGAGAGGATGAAGTCAGGGAACATGCATGGGCACTCACTGCAGGATGCATGCTCCAGGAGGGGCACACAGCACACAGGGGTGGAATCCACTGGGGTTGTAGTGGGGGAGAGGGCAAGGAGCAGCTAGGCGGAGGAGAGGAGAGTGGGGGGAGGCTCCCTGAGCTTTGTATTTCATGCATTTCTAATTGGAGAGAAAACAAGAGTTGCCAACTTCTTACGTAGCCAAGAATCACCAGTTATTGGCACCAACATTTTGTAAGGATGGATGTCTTAACCTTGGCAGCAGACAAGTGCCTTATAGACTAAGGAACTATTCCTTCCGAGGTTGAGTCCGTTGCACTCACACACTGCGTACTCTACACCGTCCTCACTTCTGTCATGTGGCCACAGACAGGCACACACTTGTCCTGGGCCAGCACGGGCCCACAGGCTGGCATCACATTCCTCCCTCCAGCTGCCCGCCTCAGGCTGCCCCTCCCCTTGAGGTGCATAGCCTGGTTATGGAGGACGCCTGGCCCTGAACTTTGCTGGGGCTCCTAGACCCTCTCTTGGTGACGAGGCTGGGAGGAGGGAGAGAAGCCGGGGTATAGAGAGGGTGGTGGTCCTGCTGCTCAGACACAGGCAGCCTGGACCTGAGCCTTGGTCTAAGTTGGCATGACCGAGAAAACTCCCATAAACACCTTTACAACCAGAAAGAAGGCAGTGTCTGCAGTGGCAGTGACCTCGGTAAGGTTTTCCAAGCAGGGAGCATAGCAAGTAAAAGCAGATTCCATTCTAGTCTGTTCTGCATCTATCCTGCTCTCTGCTGTAACACAACATACCATAGCCTAGCATAGCCTAGCATAGCCTATTGTACAGCACCATACCGTGCCAGACCATTTGGCCTGCCCATGGGGAAGAGGAATAGCTTGTTCAAAGAAAATTAGATAAATAGAGAAATGGGAAAAATAAAGAAAGTGAATGGCAGGGAAGAAATGGAAACAAAGGAGAGACAAGGTTAGAAATAGTTACTATATCTGCATGTCTGAGAAGCATGGGGACGAATGTAGAAAAGTGCAGAATGGAACGTTTCTGGTATCTCTGCAGTGCAGCCCGGGTCCTGGGGCAGGATTTTCCCATCAGGGGCAGGAAGTGTCTGGGTGGGGCTCACCTCCTCGCTGTACTTGCTCACGTAGGAGAAGATCTCCGAGAGCGCGCTCATGGTGTTGAACTCGTTCATGTGCATCCGGGACTGCTCGGCCAGGTATGCGTTCATGTCCTGGTCGCTGATGGCCGGCATCTTCCCGATGTCCGAATAATACCTGCCGGGAGGGGTGGGAGGAAAGGGGTTGGAGCGGTGCACGTGGAGCTGAGGGGAGAGGGACACTGCAGCACTGTCTGGGCCAGCAATGCCTCTGTGTTACCCCTGGGGACCACGGTGGGCGCTCTCCCGCTCTTTCATCTGGGCTGTGGGGTCTGCCCAGGAGAGCCCTCTGCAGCTCTGGATGCAAGAGGCACAGAGGCAGGGATGTGGCGAGTAGACAGACACCATCAGAGGGTGCACAGGGGTAGGAGCAGGAGAAAGGAGGGGCTGTTTTCTGCATTGGTTTTGCTTCCATCAAGGTCCAGTAAGTCTCTCATGTCCCCCTGGCACCCCCTCCCATACGCAGAAGAAAGAGGTCCCTCCACGGGCTCTTGCAAGCAGTTGCTCTGCCTTGATGTCCTCCCCTCCTGGGGTTAACCGGGAGGAGCTGGGGCTGCTTGGGGACTGAGGCTGGCAGAAGGCAATCAGTCACTGTCACTTGCAGCTGTGCACTGCTGTCAACTGGTTAATTAGATGCCAGCATTTACATTTTTAATTTCTGCAATTTGACATTTTATGCAGCAAACCCCAACTCTCCTGCCAGAGGGGAGCTGTGCAGTTTCCTAATGAGTAACCAAAGGACCCACTGCCCCAAAGACAGCCCCGCCTACCCTCTCCAGGCACCTTCTGCATGGAACCAGGTAGCTGCACAGCAGGGAGAGGAGGAGACAGAGTCCCACACACCCAGAGTTCCGCTGGACCTTCGGTGCTGGGAGAGCAAGCCCAAGCACCTAAAATAGAGGGGACAGTCGCCAGGGCAGGGACTAGGGGAGGCAAGTGAGGCATCTGGGGCACACTGTTTTAGGAGAGGTACCCACTCTCACCTGTGTAAGTGTGGGTGACAGTGACAGACCCGTAGTTTGATCAGGTAAGAGTAGGGACATCTTCAGAGGCTCTGGAACAGTCTCACGTGGGACCCCAGCCCTGTATCTCTCCCACCCCCCTTACTGCATGGACCATGCACCCACCAGTCCGGGTCCCCGACCTCCACTGCTCCCCAGGGGCATCCAGGAGTGGGGTGGCAGGCTGGTATTGTGTTCAAGGGCCTGCCACGGAATGACAGTTCTATTTGCTGCCAGAGCATCCCTGGGCTGGTGGGGCAGGATGGCTGCTGCTCTGAGCCACAGTCGCACTGTGATGTTTTTGTCTAGAAAATTAGGAAGGCAGTGGGAGGGAGATGAAATCTGTGCCCTCTGGCAAGAGACAGGCTGGTGGGAGAGAATCTCCATCCCTCAGGGACCCGCCGCACAGACACATTCACCAACTGCATGGTTGAACTGATTGCATTTTGGCGGGAGGTCTCGGCCCATGACGTGCTGTCGAGATAGGTACCAGGACAAGCGCTTAATGAAATGGCCTTTTTTCAGAGGAGCCCAGGGCTCAGGAGAGACCATCCTGCCCCATCTCATTGGATTTTCATCGGTCACAGCTTCTTTCAGAGCAGGGTCCTCTGCTTCCTGGTCCCTCCTCATCTTCGCAAGTCTGGACCTCAGCTCTGGTTCTGTCTCATTCTGGCTCTGGTGCTTCGCACAAGGAACCCACCTCCAGGCCTGCAGTCCACCCAGGACATCCTCAGGTTCCTTAGGGTGCTGGCCACTGAATGCATCCCAGCCACTCACTGCCACTATTGCTGGGACACAATAAATGCCAATGTTCCATTGCATAGCACAGACCTAGGAGACTTGGTGGTTCCCAGCCTGGCCACTCCCAAAGAGATTTGTGTTCTTGTCCCCTCACAATTCCATGCCCAATGAGCACAGTATGTTTGTCAGGTTATGTTCTCAGGTCCTGCTGGTAAGAAACCAACAAATGACCCAAACTCCAGCTAACACGGCCAGGTTCAGAGATCCCTCCAGGCAGTCAGAGTGACTGACCAGGATGGAAACTCAAGTCCCCCGACAGGACAGGACTGTACCACAAGCAAAGACTCCTGCTGTGTCTGTTACCTGCCTGTGAACCTTTCCCAGGTAGATGGATGGTTCTGTCAGGCTTTTTGCAAACAGGACTAGGGCTCCCCCTGCTGCCTTTCTCATCCCTAGGGTAGGTGGCCACGTTTCCATGGAGACAGCAGATGTCCACACTCTGTCCTTTTGTAATGGCTTGTAGCACACGGAAAGCCTAGTTCATTTCTCCAAAGGGAATATTTAAATAGTGTGTCTGTGTGAGAAAGAGGGGGGTGGGACAGGGTTGAAAGTAGAGAGGGAAGAGGGCAGGGGTTCTGATCTTCTCATCTGAAGTCGTGGGCCATGGTCTCACCTGGCCCCACCTGACATATTCTCTCAAGTCCGCACTGAGCAGCCCCATGTCTCTTCTGTGGCTTGTGTGGAGGGGTCTGGATCAGACCAGTGCATGTCTGGGGCCATATATTAACCCACCAGCAGATTGAAATACATGTCCTATTTCAGCAAGGTCTAAATCACAGCAACCAACAGCACAAGGACTGGATGAATATGGGGCTTATAGAACTTTTGTCCCATTCTTATCCCTGGCCCTGCCTGGTGCTGACTGGGCCCATCCTGCTTGCAGGGTTTGGTATCCCTGCCTTGCCATCTTCCTACTGTCCAGCCCCACATACTGTGCTCAGTTCATGACAGCACCTTCTTGAACTTGATAATGACCTTGCCCTGGCATCTCTCTGCTGTGTGCACAATTGCCTCCTCCTTGGTCCTTGCTGTGCTGGTCTTTGTGCTGGGCTCCGCCACCGAGCAGCCTTATTGATTGTGAAGAATGCAGTTATGCTCCAGTAATGAACTTCAACCAGTGTTCTTATCAGCTGGCTGTGCAGTGAGGAAGGGCAAGGTCAGCCTGGGCCCCTGTACATGAACTTCCTCCTATGGGATTTCTGCCTGCAGCTGAGTCCTTCTTCAGAAGAGATTGGTGTTTAAAAGTCCCCAGGATGGTCCTTGAGCTGGCCAGGCCCTAGCAGGTTAGCCAAAGCCTGCTGAGGAGGTCCAGGCCCCATCAATGGCCTTTCCCAGCTTTCTTCACTGCATTTGCTCATACTAGGTGGCTGTCTGTACCCTGTGGTCCCGAAATCAGTCCTTGGGGAGTTGTTCTAAAGGGAAGGACCACAGAGAGCTGGATCCTCCACTGTTGGGGTCTGGATCAGACCAGTGCATGTCTGGGGCCATATATTAACCCACCAGCATGGATGGTTTCACATTTATGGGCTTTTATGGGATGGGCCTGGTGTGTAAAGCTGGGAGTCTCAGCTCTACTTTTGGCATCAAGAAGATGTTCTCCAAGCCCTGAGCTCTAAGGGAAGAGCAAAGTGTTATCATCCCTTTAAATACTTCGAAGGCAAAGATCAGATGTGCAAAACACTGGGGCCTGATATCCTGATGTCCCTGGAAACTTCAATTTCAAGGTGGCTGCACACACATCTCTCCCCTGTGAATCATTCACTGACCTCACTCCCCGAGTGCCCCTACTATGGCTCGTGGGGCTTGCTCAGTGCCTGTCCATGTGTCCTTCACCACGAGAGCCATAGGGAAGAATCAAGTCTAATCTCTCCCGAGTGCCCAATGCAGCCATGATGGATACCATAAATGTTTGACCTGAGGATTAATGAACAAGTTAATGAAATGCCTATACTTCACCTCCAGGATTGCTCCCAGGGTGACCTGTCACAGCTTTGCAATTTGAATGGATGGTTTCCTTAGGAGGCATATTTAAATATTTAAAATTCGTAACCTTTTCCATGCAGTGACACCTATGATCGATGGCATTCTTGTGTGTGGCACGCCCCTCGTCCACCCCCACAGTGGGCCATTGAACTCATTCCCACAGGAAAGCCTGTGGCTGCAAGGGAGCCAGGCTGAGGTGGCCGCGGGGACAACCTTGAAGGTCTTCCAATTAAACATGAGAGGACATTACTACCGAAAGGAACATTTCCTGCTATTGGTGATGAAATGACAACCGATAGTGGCACAACAGGCGTGGTTGAGTTCTCTGTAAGATCAGTGCAGCAGCCAACTGCTGCCAGGAGCCAAGAGAGTCTTCTTTCTCTAGATGTGGCCACAGCAAAAGCCCCAGTGCCTGGATGGAGGCAGCGGAGACTGGGAGTCTGCAGTGGGCCCTCAACCATCAGCACCATAAGGCACTTGGAGGCAGAAATGGGGTGGAAGAATGTGAAGAGAACAGGTGGATGGACTTCCAGGAAATGCAAACCAGCAGAGATGTGATAGAATCATCCAGGCTGTTCAGAGGCCTCCTGAATTCATACACTCTCTACCCTTTGTGTACAGAGGGCGGCCAGGGAGCCCCTGGTTCTTCATGGGATGGGACAGAGGCCTCTCCAATGTGTGGAGGGTGCAGTGAGTTACGGAGCCCGAGTCCTGTGCAGGCTGTGTGCGTGCTCACAGCAGCTGGGCCAGTGATTCAGAGAGGGGAGGACCACAGCCTCAGAAGCAGGGCATTCTACCACTGTTCTTCTGAGCTGGAGGCTGCCAGTGCCCGTGGAAGGGAGAATGGGAGTCCAGGATTGATGGTCCTGAATGAGTCCCTTGTAGGGAGCCAGACAAGCTCAGAGCAGTCTCCCGGGAATGAGAGCAGGACTGATCTGTTCATCACCAAGTTCAAGAAGCTTGGCCTCCAGACCTGTCATGTGGTTTCCTCACCCCTCCATCTTTGTACCCTCATTCAGAATGAGAGGAGAAGGGAGTTGGGACCTCACACAAGAGAAAGATAACTTCCTGAGAGTGACATGGGTTGCTAAGAAACTGGTGGCATAAAAAGTGGAAACCATCAAACCACTCCTAAAAATAACCAAATGAACCAGGGTTACTCATGACCCATAGCAGCTGCGTGGCACAAATCTCATTTAGCATCAAGTGAAAGAGAGCCCATTATTCTGATCTCCACTAGCCGATCTCCAATTGGCTATGCTCTGGGAGCGTCCTCTATGCAGATGTTTCAGAAATGCTCCCAGCCCTTCACATCCCTGCTCCCTTCCTCACTGCCAGTGGTCCTATCACAGAGACCTTGCATCAGTGCAGGGATAACCAAGAACCCCACCTGCTGCCTCCTCTCTCTCTTTGCCAAAGAGCCAGGTGACCATGAAAGAGGGCCTGCTCCTGTCAGGTCTACTGTCAAAGAATGAGCCACTGTCCACACAAAGAGGGAGGTAAGAGTCTCTCCTGGTGACTTGTACACAATCTGATACAAGAACAAAAGAGTGAGCTCTCTCACTGCCCCTCAGGGCTGCATGCCCACCACATGCCTGAACAGGAAGGGGCAGAAAGGAGATCAAGGACCAGAGAGGAGAGGGAAAAGGAGACAACCCTTGTAGGAGGACTGCTATTGAGGTGGCCAGGATCCACCCTGCTTGTCATTTCCTATGCACAAGGGAAGGCAATGCACAAGTAAGATGTCTCAACGCCGTGGTGGACTGATACATTTTGTCTTTGGTCACCAAGTCAGGAACAATTTCTGGTCTCTTTTACTCTTTGAAAAGGCACCAACTTTGAGCTTTTTGCTCCTCTGAGAAAATGAGAGAGGGACAATAAACCAGGCTGTCGTGTAGATTGTGCAGGTTGTTCCCTGTGTAAACCACGCATCCTGGCTGGGGTCACATCCCCCGGTAGGAAGGACACAGCCTTTAAACCACACAGCACACCTTATGGGTTGGCAGAGGCCCTGTCTAAAAGTATCATACATAATGGAAAAGGGATGTGGGAGTCAGCTGCGCTTGGGATCACGTTTAAGTCATGTTGGGCTGATTACTTAGCCTTTCTGTATGTTCATTTCTTCACCTTCCTGGACACAAAACGAGGTTGTGAATCCTGACTCATATCCCAGGGCCAGTGTCATGATTAAGTAAACAAAGTGTCGGCTGGTTGCTTTGCTCAGGTGCTTGGCACAGGGAGTTGATGCGGCCCGGATAAACCATGACTGCTTTGTACCAGGAGTGAGCTTTGCATCCAGACACCCCCTCCATGGCTTGCAGGGGGAACTCAGTGGCAGGTGCAGTGGCTGAGGCTGTGAGCAGATCAGGGCCTCTATGGCTGAGAACGCACTGCAAGGCCCAGGGCAGAGGGGCTCAGGGTGAGAGAGTCCAGGGACTGGGACAGTGGAAAACTGTTTGGAGTGGCAATGACATCCCACAGGATGCTGGCAGGACTGACAGAGGCACCGGGGCAGATGGGGAGAGGCCACCAGCCTTTTTGTGGCAAGAAGCTATTCAGTCCTCAAAGTATTTACTTTTATTATTTATTTTTTGTGGGGGGGATTAGAGCAAGGGACCATATTTCCTTCCTGGGCCTAGAAAATATTTCAGACACTAAGATCTGCGTTTTCCAGGCAGGGAAGCAGAGCCCCATGAAAATTCCTAGCCAAGTTCCTCAGTTCTTGTTCAGCCAAAAATACAGGGTGCGTGAGGGTGTGGGTGATGCAACTTTGGGGTTCAGCTTTGTGAACGATCTGCTTTCAAGCCTCACCCACGGTGGAGCGAGAGGAGGACCCCTAGGCAGGGGAAGTTGCCAGCCGTGGCACCCACCCCAGCACTCACCTCTCCACCCAGTTCTTGTAGCTGGGGATGTCCTTGGCATAGAGCAGCTTGTTGGAGGGGGAGTCCTTGCCCAGCCGGTGCTCCGATGTGGAGCAGGAGTCCATGAAGGTCTGGGCCACCACGGAGAGACAGGCATCTGTGATGCTGTTCTTATGGATATCAAACACAAACTGGGGGTTCTTGATCATGTTGACCCAAAAGCGCAGCGGCAGACTGTGAGGAGGGAAGAGACAGACTGTCAGGGGAGATGGGGTGCGGGCCCGTAGCTTGGCCGGAGAGCTCTCTGGAGAAAGAGAAGAGGCTGGGGACTGACATTCTCCTTCTTCTTTTTAAAAAATATATTTTATTGATTTTTTTACAGAGAGAAAGGGAGAGGGATAGAGAGTTAGAAACATTGATGAGAGAGAAACATCGATCAGCTGCCTCCTGCACTCCCCGCTCCCCCCCCCCCCCAGGGGATGTGCCTGCAACCAAGGTAAATGCCCTTGACCAGAATCAAACCCAGAACCTTTCAGTCCGCAGGCCAACACTCTTATCAACTGAGCCAAACTAGTTAGGGCGGAACTGATGTTCTTAAGGGCCGTCTCTAAGCCACAAATCTACCTGCAGGGAAACCAAGGACCAGCAAGGCTAACCATCCAGAGAGACAGTGTGGACGGGCACCAGGCAGGGAGTGATGGCAGGCGAGGCTGCAGGCTCAGTGTCCCTCACAGCACAGGCCTGGGGTCAAAGGAGCCATGATGGGCGCTGTGCAGTGGGCTTTCTGACGCTCCATTTCACAGTCTACCCCCTACGCCGCATACAGGCGAACCTTCAGAACAGCCTGGAATTTAGGCTTTGTATCTTATTCTCTGCCATCCACTGCAGGCAGGGCTTGGAAGAAGTCACACCCAGCTTCCTTGCCCAGGAACATCAACTTATTGCTACATAACGAAGGTGTGAGAAGGGAGCAGTTTAGGAGGAGCTAACGGGTTTCTCATCTCCAAGCCAGCCACTTAGAAAACAACATCTTCATGGCCCCTCATCTTCCCCTCCTTCTCCTCTCTCTTTCTCCCAGTTGGAACCTTCTGCTCCCCAGGAACGGTGCTGGGAACGGGGGATGCAGTGTGAACAAGACACATCCTCTACCCTCAAGAACCTGCATTCCGGTGGGTTCTTGGGGAAGTCAGACACGCCAGCGAGCACGAGCTCTGAGAAGTGTCCACGCTAGAAGGAAAGGACGGGCAGGCCAACCACGGGAATCAGAGAGGTGGATTAGGGCCACCCAGAGGGATGTGTCTGGAAAGTCTTCACGGAAGGGATGGCTCTTGATTGTTTGAGCTGTAAAGGTGCACAGGTGTTCCTTCACCAGATGCAGCCTGGGAGAAGGTATAAGGGAAGTGCTGCCGGGAAGGGGCTCAGCTAACCAAAGGCAAAGAGGAGAAAAACCGTGCCCGGTGGTCTGGTCACTGCCAGCCACTCTATGTTGCTAGAAGGGTCCCAGGGTCTCTGGAGAACCCTGCCCACCTGCCCCTTGGGCTATCCTCTGCTGGCTCTCGGATTCCGTGCCGCCATCGGCCACTGAGACACAGTCAGGGAGCAGGGGCACTTCCCTCCTGTGACTTCCCTCCCTCTACCCACCTCCTCACCTCCTGCCACTTCCCTCATGTTTTACAGTTATTTTGGTTGCTCTTCTCACTGTTGGTAAATGGTTAGAATGTTCCTATGTGTTTGGCTGGCCTCTTAGAACTTAAACTCTTTGAATAACATCATTTCAATGTAGCGGGTACAACATTTCTATAGATGTTGTATCTCCCAGCAGGCAGTACACACACACAACAAATGCTATGAACACAGCCAGACCTCACATTTGAAACTGCCAATCCGTCAACAAGAATTTAAGTTCCTGCAAAGTACATGGCAGAGTACAGGCAGGCAACGTTGAGTCTGACCATGTTAAGTGGCACCTACTTCACTCGGGGAAATTCAGGTAGGACATATGGGGCAGCATGGAGAGTCATGACAGGGGTGGAAGCCAGGGTCACAGGGGAGACCATGACAGCTGGCCTCAGAGCCCAGGTGAAGGCCCCCTGGCTGGCCGGCCAACACGGTCTCCTGTCCACATCCTCCTGTTTCCAGAAGTGCCACTGGAGGAGGGACTCTCGGAGTCCATGTATGCCTCTGGCTGTTTCTCCCCAACACGCCCTCTCCTAAGCCAGCTGTGTGACAGGCACATCAGACCAGGAAGCCAGGGCCCCACACGGAGTCTCCTGCCTAATGAAATATTAGCATATTATTAACATTAGCCGTGGCACTCATCTCTGGTTGATTGCAGTCACTCAGGCAAATTGAGCAGGAGGTTTATCCAAGAGAGAGAAGGTAGGGAACGTGGAGGGAAGCGGTGGGGAGAGTTGCCACTTTGTCCAGGAATAAAGAAGCAATCTCTTTTCAATCAGGGACAATTAACTCTAAGTCAATACCCAGAGTTCATAATTCCCAGGCTAACTGCTGCTTGCCTGGGTAGCAATGAGGAGGGTCAGGGCATAGCCTTTGGTGAAAGACTACGAGCCTAGGACCTCGCCTACTGCCCAGCTTTCCTTCATGGGGACTGAGTTTCCTTGCTCCTCCCCCCAATCTGACTCCCCCCAATTCCCCAAGAAATGGCTGGAAGGGAGGGTCTGCCTCACCCATGAAATTGTGATATCCTGTGGTGGCTCACCCACCAGGAGGTATGGGCTGAAATACAGTTCAGTTACTATTTCAGGAGATCTACTATAATGTGCTGCAAAGGCATGTAGGGATGTTTTGAAGACACCAGCTCTCCCAGCCGGACCATGATGCCTGGACAGAGCATTCACACAGTGACATGTGGGGACACTGGCCAAAAGGAGCATATTTGGTAGGTGGGGTTGGGGCCCTCAGAACAGCTCTGCCTACGATGGCTAAACACCACCTCACCTCGAGGCAGGCAGGTTGGTTCTTGGTAAGGCTCTGGCTGGTTGCCAGGGTCCCTGGCTGAGCCCTAGTCCCACGTGAGACCAGACGAGGGGGACTTTCAGAGGCACGAACAGCCTCCATCCTGTGTAACTGCACTGAATGGAGAATCCACTCTCAGAGTCTCATTTCAGAAAGGCTGGAGGAAGCCCGTGATGGACAATCCCTCACTGAGAATCCGTGTGGGATCAGCCCTGCCCTTAATTATGATGCCTGTTCCTGTGAAGACCACACCAATCCTCAGGTATGGAAGTGAGGAGGCTAAAGTATGTATTAGTACCACAGGTTGCCTTCTGCCCTCCTCTGTGTTTTGGTATGGGGCTCCGGGCAGGATGTCAGGGTGCCCGGCTATGCCCTAGCGCCATACCAGCCCAAGCAGGTGCTGGCCAGCAGGCTCATGCAGCCTTGGGAGAAAGTTCTGAGGAAGAACAGCCTGGGACAGGAATCACTTAAAGCTACAGGGAGGCACTTTTGAACCCATGAGCCCACTTTGTTTGCCTGTGGTGCGTAGAACTCTCAAGAAGAGACCATTTTGGCCCTACACCTTCATTAATATTTATCGAGTCCCTGCTCTGTGTGAGGTTCCAGACCCGGCGCTCAGTCCTGAAGTCTGACCTTGCAGTCTCAACCTGGAGCATGAATCACTCACAGACCGAGGGGAAGGATGTGCACATGGAACGAGAGAGATCAGAGTGGAGACACCCAGAGTGGCCATTAGAGAGTCCTGGTGTCTCAGAGGCAGACAAGGTGGTGAGGGGAAGGTCTCTGCCCACAGGGAGTTTGGAAAAGGAGTTAGTGGAAAGGGCAGCCCACCACTTCCCGAAAAGAACAGAAAAGCCCTTCAAAACCTGCCCAAGAGTCGCTGCTGGCTGCCGCCGCTATGCAATCCAGGTGCACACAGGCCTCTGACCAAGCAGCTGTCTGTCTGTCTCTTTCCTAGTCCCCGGAGGGCAGGGGCTCTGGCTGGGGTCCCTGTACCCTCAGTACCCAGCATAACGCCAGGCGCACAGGAGGTTCCTGGTTGTGACAGCCTCTGGGCTGCAATATTTGGCAGGTTACATTTTGCTGACTAAGTTGGTTAAATGAATCTTTTCAATTGACTGACTGGTTGCTAGGAAAGAAGGACCATTTGACTAGTCAGAAGTGAGCACAAAAATAGTAGGAGGGGTGAGGAGGCCCAGAGAGAGCCTGCGCCGGGTCCCTGCGGGCAAAGGTGACCCACGACCACCATGGCCTGTGGCCGCCCCCCTGGGCTCGGCTGGCCTCCCCGGACTTGTCCTCGCTCTTCCTTCACTCACCAGTTGCTTTTCCAGGTGTGGCGGACATGCGGGTCGTGAATGCCATGCTTATCCGCCTGCTCATCCAGGAAGTCAAACATGTACTTGATGGCCAAGGGCAAGGCCGAGCCGCGGTGCGCCGTGCTGAAGATGGTCTCAAAGAGGTCGTCCACGAACTTCTGCAGCGTGCCCTGGGGAGGCGCCACAGGTCACACGCGGCTCCCCAGGGCGCGCTCAGGGTGGCTTTATGGTCTGCCTCTCGTGGGGAGCGGAGGACAGGGCAGAGCCGGGCCAGCTTGGCCGGAACCGGGGAAGTGCATGCATTAACTCTCCCCTTCCCCTTCCTCTGTCTTACATTTTCGCTGCACGTGAGGCATAGATACGCTTCTGATGACTGGGCCTAACTAAGCCTTCCTCTGCCAAAATGCGGTTTGGTTGAACACCATTTGGCGTTGTTATTTTAGCGCTTTTTGCAAATGCTAATGAGCAACTCACTAGGTCAGAGCAGACAAACACAATCTGCTGGTTGGGTTTGGGTCTTGTATTCACTCCGGCTAGCAATCAGTTACCCATTCGGCTCTGCACGGAGCAGGGCCCAGGCCAGCCTCTGAGCGAAAGGCTAACGGGCAGCACAGAATGTCCCCAGAACCAGGCTCAGAACCGGTGCCTGGAAAGTCACCGATGGGCCCCGCGTTCCATCTCTGGAGACTGCAGGGCACCCGGGGGGAGCCATTCTTTCAGGAGGATGGCAGAAGCGTGTGAATAGATGTGGCCTCTGTGTGTGAGAAACCCCACAGAGAAGGGAACTTCAGACTGCCCGCCATCACTGATGTGGGTGGGGTGTGCCTGGAGCCACGGGTGAGAAGGTTCTGAGGTTCTGTGCTGGGAAGGCGTGCTGAGCTGCCAGTGCCTGCCAGGAGTAGAGGGGCCCTGGTGCAAATGCTGGTCTGTCACAGCTCGGGGGGAGAGGGGGCAGGGAAGGGGGGAAGTCCCTTATTGTACTCCATGTGCCCCGTCACATCTGAAGTCTGATACCTTAGTGGCCAGCAGTCGGGTGAGATAGATCTCAGACACCATCTTGCTCCCCCGGTCCCCCTCCTTCTGGTCCCCATGCTCGTGGTTCTTCACCAGGTGCCACATCTTCACTCCACTCTCCAGGTCAGGCGTGATCATGGGCGTGCGCGAGCGGAGGCTGTCGGGACTGCCCGTGTACCGGATCATGTTCTCTGCCAATGCAATGGGCCATGTGTGTGAGGTCACTCAGCCTTCCTTACAGCGCACCCACCGCAGCCGAGGCCAGCTGCTGCCCCATCCTTCCTGCGGGTGTCTGTCTGTCCCCTCGCCTTGGCCTTGGCTTAGTCCGTTCCTTGGAGCTGGGGGCCTTTCCTTGCACCTCCGGGAAACTTGTGGCTACTTCACCCACTCCGCTTCCCTCCCTCCTGCACCTGCATCTCGCCAGCCCGGAATTATTCAGCTTGTACAAATACAAGCATGTCTTCTTTCACACGTTCCTGGTAAGAGTTCTCAAGGCATGTCTCAGGATGTGTTCTGAGTGGCCAATTAGGTACCGGCGGAAGAGCAGGTAGCCTGTCTCCCTTAATGACCCGACCAGCTGGGAGCTGTCTCGTCAGCTGCTCACCTGCAAGCTCCCTGTGGCCCCGGCCACTCCCTCCCCCTGATTTGCTGCAATGCAAGTGTTACACAGAAGAGATGATGAAGGGCCTATGGCGTATGGCACTGTCCTGTGATCTATTGATTTTCCAGGATGATCCTGCCATTTTGGTAGTTTTTTCAAACCCCGTTTGGCTGTTAAGAAAACTAGGTCTTATATTTTCAGGCAGCGGGCCCCAAGGCACTCAGATGGTGGCACAACAGAGTGGCACCTGGGACAGAGTGGCTTCCAGGCCACATCCAGTGCCCCCCTACCCCCCTCCTCAGAGCCAGAGACCTAGGCCTGTATCTTCCCTTAAATGCTTCATATTGGCGTGACCTTTACACAGTGTGCCGCCGTGCCTCTGAGTTATAATTTGCTAATCTGCATAATAAGGGGAAATAATAATTATTTAATCCACTGGATTGTTATGAACTTCAGGCGCCATAATGAGTATCACACAGTGAAAGCGTCTTCCTGCTTATAAGATGCTCGCAAAGGTGAGAGTTCTTTCCTGCTCTAGGGGGTGAGGTTCTGCTTCTGCACCCGAGTTCTGCCCGGGACCAGGGGCTCCTCCTCAGCCTGCTCTCCTCTCCTGTTGCAGCCTGCCTGACTCCCCCCCCCCCCCAGCTCCTTGCCCCCCCCAATCTGACTCCCCCCAGTCCATGCCTTCCATCAGCACTGCCAACCTGACAACAGCTGCTCAGGGCATCCTCTCCCCCCGGAACAGTGCGAGGGGCTCACCGTATTTGCTTGCCGAGGTCCTGGAGACGGTGGAGTTGTTCACTGCGTTGTAGGCTGTCACCTGCTTGGACACTAACGCCACCACAGAGCCATCGGGCACCTGCGGGAAGAGGCTCCTGAGGGCTGGGCACAGCTCTGCCTCCCCAGGAGGTAGGGACACACCAGGATGAACTCAGGCTGCGCCAGAGAACTAGGGGACGTGGGAGGCTGTCGGCTTTCCTTGGAACAAAACAAGACAGATCTGGACACTGCAGAGTGTCCTGCGTGGTGACTCACTCTTGGGGGGACTCTGGCAAGAACTTCTCACCAGCACCCTCTCTCCCACACAGGCTTGTGGAGGGGTCCCATGTGGGGACTAGGAGATGTTTCTCCCAGGAAGCTTCCCATCAGTGCCTGTCTCCAAGGAGGTCAGGGTTTCCTGGGGGGACATCAGCTCTCCCGGGGTCCCTGGGAAACACGGGGTACTGGTGAGGAGGAGTTAGGACTGGATGTCTAGCCTTGGGGGACCTGCTATCTCAGGACTGAGAGAGCAGGGAGCTGGGACCTGCTGGCCAGCCCCTCCTCCTTCCACAGTCCCCCCACCTGGTAATGGGCCAGGGTGTTCAGTCTCTTCCAGTCATTCTCGATCTTGGTGGTGATGTCCTCGTCCTGCAGGATCATTCGCACTCCGCTTCCTTGTCGCCACTCTGCAGAGGGAGCAGCGGCAGCTCAGAGCGGCCCTCAGGCCCCTCCCATGGGGATCCGGAGGACCCCTGTGCAGGCACCCACACAGCCCTATCAAGGGGCACCTTGGACAACAAATTCTGGCAGACACTCCCTGAGGAGGGGGTGCAGGCGCTCTTGGTGCAGAAGGGCCCTGAGCTCCAGCTCTGGTTTTCATCCCTAAAACTCTGTGCCAGGACCAGGGATGCCGCATCCTGTCCTCCCTGCCCACCTGTTCCCCGGGCGTGGCCACATCTGCAGGAAGCAGGTGCTGAGTAAACCTTGGCTGAGTGAACGAGGCTGGTGGGAGCAGGTAAGAAAGCGGGAAGCCAAGGCAATGGCACTGTCATGCCACAGGCTCGTTGGCTTGATTACAAGGTCTTGGAGCTACAGAAACTGGGGTGCAGGCGCGGCACTGTTTACCTTGTTCTCACACCAGATCTTGAAAGCCAGAAGGTGGGTCGCTGTGGGCAGGGAGACTGGGTGAGACCGAGTGGGGAGGCCGGTGGGACCTGGTCTCATGCCAGAAACAGCCCCATGCCCAGAGCTGATGTGGATAACAGCGATTCGGGGAACCTACCCAACACCTAATTAGTTGATGTGATAGGCACAGACTTACACCCCCACATTCTCCACATGGGCTCAGACACCTACAACACAGGGACTGGCTGATGGATCCCACATGGGCAGCGAGGAGGCTGTTTCTCATCAACCACGTCCCATCACACACGTGGCACCAATCTCCTGGGGAGAGAGACCAGGGACATGCCAGACACACCAGCTCCTGCGATGTGCATGCATACACCCACCCGCACATGCATACACGCTCACACGCACACACCAGAAAGGAAAACAGCCTTTCAAAATCAGTGCAACATGTGTTCCAGCCAGGAAGCTGGGAGTCTGGTTTCCAGGCAGCCGCTCTGCCCGCCACGCCCGCCACATGCTGACATGTGGCAGCCGTGCGAGTCTGGGTTTCACGGAGGGCAGTGAGGGCTGGAATGAGTCACCCAGTCCTCGCCTGACCCCGCCATGGATTTCCTTGTGGCCCTCAGAGACACGTTTCAGGTCCCCTCCCTCCATTCTGCTCCCGTCAAGGCTGAGCTGTGGGTTCAGGACCAGCCACACTGGTGGCAAGGAGGGCACCAATTCCTCCCTGACTTGTGCCCTCAGCGTGGCCAGTGCTATGGGTGGAAAACGGGTCCAGAGAGGGGCTGCCTGCCCTTAGAAGCTGCAGCGTTGCTCCTGACATCTGAGCCCCTGCTTTTCACTCCTGGGCTCGCCCCCTGCCTGGGTTAACGCCTCAGGTGGTGTCCAACTGTCCCAGGAATGAGAACAGAAGGATGCCACCTGTGTTCAGCGGAGCAGGCCCTGCTAGGCCTCTGGGGACCGCCCATCGCTTAGTGCTGCCACTGATCAGCTGGAACTGATCCTGGCGATGAGGGCCTCGGGGCAGGGAGGGGAGTGAGCAGCTGGGGAAACGCCCCAGGGAGGCACCTGCTCACCAGTGTTTTGCGTGTTGTTGTGCTGGTTTATGTGTGTGGTGGTAAATTTCAGGTGGCTGTGTGTGGATGTATGGATGCGTGTGTGTTTGAGTGGCTGGGACAAAAGGAGAGGCATATCTCCCAGCTGGTTGGGCTGCTGATAGGCGGTTCACTCAGACGCTGGTGAAGCCAGCCTGGGCTGCGGACTGTGGCAGTGGTGTGCTTTATCCCAGTCACACAGTGGGTGTCCCTGCCTGCCTGGTGAATGGTGCCAGGGCCATAAAGTCAAGGCTGCATGGGGTTGGGGACAGCACAGCAGACTGGGGCATAGAAGTCAGTGTTCTGCGTTTCCCGCCTGGGGTCTGGAGGCAAAGCTGGGGATGAGGCTGTATGCTAAGCCCACTGGCTGGGCCCAAGGGAGAAGGGGTCTCCTTCACTGAAGTGCTGTGGGCTCTGCCGAGGCCAGACAGGGACGGGACCAGCCAGGGCCAGCGTCTGATTTGCAGCTGCACTGGCACAATCCCCCCCGCAATGGCGCCGGTTACCTCAGTGCAATCTGGACAAGCCACACAGCCTAAGGGACTAGCAGTGACAGTGGAATCTGGAGCCCCGTGCGGTCTTCCCTGTTGCATAACTGCCCTGCACTGAGCCCTCTGCAGCCTGTGTGGCTGTGCCCAGCTGCCCTGGCTCTGGGTTGTGTCCACTATTATGTAAGCAAACGAGAGTCAGGCTGGCTCTCTGCCCCCAACTGAAAAGTAGGGCAGAGTGTGGCCCTGGGCACCCGAGCCATTAAGGAGGGGTGGCCTGTCCTTGGAACACAGAAATGCTGCTGCTAGAGGCTACCCAACAGGGCTGGCCCAGCACCTGGGGCAGAGCAAGTCCTGGATGAGTATTTCTTAAAGGAACAGTGACTGCGTGGATAAACGGATGAAAGGATGAAGGGATGATTAAGGGGAAGAGTGTGTGTGTGAGTGAGTGTGTGATGGTGGCCCTTTCCCAAGTAGAAAGAGAGGTCTGGCTGTGTGTTGGTGTCCATGGCAGGCAGACAGTGAACTAAAGTCAGAGGTGAACCGGGAGCTACTCTGTTAGCAACCGGGGGCCCAGGATGGTCTGAAGTCCTCAGAAACACAATGAGGCATGACCATTTTAGAAATAAACACTTTCTAAATTATTGCTACTCATTCTCCTAACTGTATGGCTGGGAGGTTAAAGAAACAGATTGGGAAGACAGACCCCGTGTCATCATCCCCAGTCGCTGCTCACTCTGCCAAGCAGTTGAGTTCCCTCCTGAGGGCACTGAGAGGGCTCCTCCTGTGGGTGAGGCACTGAACCAGGTCCTGGGGATACAAAGACAGATAGCCAGAGGCCCCGGACTCGGGCAGATGTGGGCCCAGCTCGGGCACTGCAGCATGGCCACGCAGCCACCTCTCTGAGTCCCAGGCCTCAGGAGTGGGTGGGAGTGGGTGGGAGGGAGAGTGCTGGCTGACTGGAACCCTGAGCCACGATGCTGGCAGGTAGTTGTGTCCACTCAGCTCCATACTCAGAGCTCTAAGAACCCAAGGGACCACTGGCAGTGTAAGTTGGACATAGAACTTCCTTCTCAGCAGTCCGAATTGCACTGGTGGGTGGACACAAGCTTTGCCCACTAGCTGAGGTGTGTGGGCAATGCTGTGTGAAGAACAATGCATCAAGACTCAGGAGGAAGAGCAGGGTCTGCAGGATCAGGGGTGAGGAGGCGGCCAGAGCTGAGTGCTGAAGGGTCAATAGCTTTTGCCTCACTTAGCATGGGGACAGCAGTTCAGACCCTGCTGTTTATGGGACATGTCTAAGGACCCACACATGTGGAGGCAGTGGAAGGAAGAGGCTGGAGATGCACAAGCAAGACAGGAAATGAGTTAAGAACAATCTAGGGCACCTGGGATTGAACTGAGGGCCACAGAGAGGGGTGAATGAGAAGAGGTGGGGAGCCCCGCCTAAGACAGCTGCCTTAGGACCTGGACTGAGGAAGCGGGGCAGGGAAGGCATTGTAGGGGATGTCCAGGAGACAGACCAGAGGATGCTTGGAGATTTCATAGGGGAGAAGCTGGGGCTCCATGGTGAACCCCAGGTTTGTGAGAAGGTGTCTAGGGAAAGAGAGGAGGTTCATCTGCAAGCCAACCAACCCTGTGAAGGAGACACTGGAACTGTGTATATCACTGGCCCAGGTCTTGGAGGGTCCCCCACCCACCAGTGGATGCTAACTCAGGAAGCAAACCCTCCTGGAGGTACACAGCACCTCACTAGCTCTGACCCTCATGCCCTGTGCTTGCTAATAGAAGCATGGTGAATTCATGTGCATGCACGCGCGTGTGCACACACACACACACACACAGGCACACTCATGAACACACACTAAAGCACACACATTCATTATGAACCTCATTTTACCCAGGCTGGGGACCCAGAAAGCTTTTTAGAAACCCCACTCCCTCCATCCTTGGCCCAGTCTTTATCACCATTCATCCTCAGACCCATCACAGAAGCTTTAGGAGGGCTGGCCTAGAGGGCAAGGCAGGAAGGAGCTGCCCACAGGCTGGTTAGAAATGCCGGAGTCAACCCTGATGACCCACGGGGGAGGAACTCCAGAGCCAGATGCCTGTGTTCCACCCAGGCCACCTTCCTCCCTGGGGGCGCCGAGAACAGGTTCTCACCAGAAGCACACGCCACTCTGCACAGAGCCCGCTCTACCTCCAAGAGCAGGGTCCTGAGCAGAAATCTGGAGGAGACACGACCTATGGCTGCGCACCTGCCGGCAGGTGAGTCCAGGGAGCAGGGCCAGAACCTGAGACCCTCAGTGCCCAACCACACAGCAGCACGTCACGGAAGAGCTGAGAGGGCCGTGACAGGACTGGTGTCACCGTCTCACCTCAAACAAGGTCTGAAAACCCGCCTAGGGAGCGGAGGCTGTACCATCTAAAGAGGCTTTGCTGAAGAGTTTATTGTCTCAGCAAGTTCTAAAACATAAAATAATTGAACGATGACATGTGGTGCCTAAAAGAAGAAATTTCTAAATAGAACTGCGCCGTCAGCATTTCGGGCTCCAGGTCTTTGCAAACTGAAACGCGCCCGCGCTGGCTAGTGTTGCTACGAGGTTAAGTCCGGAGCTCAAGGAAGGAGTTTGCGCCATGCCAATGGATTTAAGAGAGATGAGCTAGAGCTTAATGGATCTTCTTGAATATAGAACACAGAGGCCCCAGTGTCACCTGGGCAGCGCGCTGGGTAAAAGGAGAATTTAAAAGGCAGGTGGTGGGCGGAGAAAGCGGGGGGAGGTGACCCTGGTATTCACGCGCATGGCACCAGGAGAAAATTGCTAGCCCTGACCTCCCTGGCATCTCCTGCCCTGCAGCCTGGTACCCTGCTCCAGGCTCCAAGCACAAAGGACAGACACTCACAATCCAATTTGTTACACTTCCACCTTGCAGGGGAGAGAGGGAGGTGAACTAAAAAAGAAAAAAAAAAAATCCCATTATCTTTATCTGTGCTTCCCATCAGGTGCAGCGGAAAATGCAAACTGGAGAGACAGCTGCTGTGAACTCTTTATATTCCACTCAGAAGATAGTGTATCTTTTTATTGCATACAGGAATTACTTATTTGAAAAAATATATATCCTTTCAGCAGGACTTGAATGGCAAGACAGAGGGGGTGGCGGAGTTCCGGGGGCTATTGATAGAGCATTTGCATTAAACCCGGGGAATCTCTGGAGGTCAAGGCCCACTGAGGAGGACGCGTGGGCTGACATGGGTGTTCCCTCCGCCCCCCTGTCGCGTGACCAGGGCCCCAGCACTGTGCCTCTCTGAGCTGCAGATTCTCCTTCTTCGAAGTGGAAGCGAACGGTACCAACTATTTCCTCCAGGGAGGAGACAAAAGATTCTCACGGCTCAGAAAGAGGGCTGCCCTGCCTCCTGCTACACTGGTGCTCCCACGCCGGGCACAGGGCTTGCCCAGAAAGCCTCTTGTGATGCTATACGCTGGTTGGAGAGTTTAGCAATGCAAGGGGGAACCTGTACCCAATACCTGTGGGAGGAAAGGGACATACACCTGGTGAGAGCAGCCTCGGGGGTAGCAGAGGGGCGCCCTCGGCACTGTGCTTTGAGAGCTCCCAGAGGCCAGTCTGCCCAGCACAGGCCCCATGCCCTGCCCTGTGAGATCTTTCCATCCCCCAATTGCAGCAGACCGAAGTGAAGGTGGACTCCGTGTCCTGCACTCTGGCTCCTGTGATGGTTAATTTTATGTGTCATCTCGGCCGGGCCGCGGCACCCAGCTATGTGGTGAAACATTGTTCGGGATTTTCTGTGAGGAAAATCATCGTTTTCTAGATGAGATTAACATGTGAATTGTTGGACTCTGAGTAAAGTAATTGTCCTCCATAATGTGAGTGGGCTCATTCAATTAGGCGAAGGCCATAGGAGAACAAGAGATTGGCTTCTCCCTGAGCAAGAGGGAGCTCGGCCTTGAACTGCAATACCAGTTCCTCCCAGCCAATGGGCCCACCTTGCAGATTTTGGACTTGCCAGCCTCCATGCTGTAGACTGGATGTTTGTGTCTCCAAACCCCCGTGTTGAAATCCTAACCCCCAGAGTGATGATTGAGGGAGATGGAGCCTTTGGGGGGTAATTAGGTCATGAAGGTAAAGCTCTCATGAATGAGATTAGCACCCTTATAAAAGGGACCTCAGGGGATCTCTTGCCCCTTCAGCCTTGTGAGGACACAAGTGGTGCCTCCTGGACCTGCTTTCAGGGGGGCCATGAGCTTGAGCTTGAGCTGATGCTGAAGGACACCGGCTCCATCCCTCCTCAGATACAGCAGGTATTTTGAGCCAAGACAGGATGGGCTGCGTGAGTTCTTCCCCATCCACCTGCCCTGCTCCGGGAAGAGAGGAGGCGTTCCCATGCGGAAGCTGTCTTGATGCGGCCGGTGGAGGCTGCAGCACACACCTGGCACCCACCTTCATGGGAAGGCCCCCATCCCCAAGCACCAGAGTGCAGAGTTCTGTCAGCACCGCACGTAGGAGCACCTCTGGGGTCCAGCACCACCTCACCGCTGCACTCACCTCCCAGCACGAAGTTCCCGCAGCTCCTGCTCTGGCCCCACTGCATCAGGATTACCCTCCTACCCGGGTTACAGAGAAGGACACTGAGAAGCTAAGGTGGCCCCTGCCAGGGCTCCCACAGAAAAGCTAAAGGAATGCTGGATGCTACCTGAGAAATTCACTATGGAGTCGCCACTGAATTGCCTGGGGATGGGGACCATTTTCTCGCCCACTGCTTCTGTAACAGGCCCCTTCGCATCATCCCTCCCTGGGATCTTCATGCCAACAGTCATCCACGTGTGGACACAAATGTCCAATCTGACTCTAGGGACCACTGCCCCAGAACACACATGTGGACTCACTCACCCACCCCACCCCAACTCTTACATTTCCTTTCTTCCTCCCTCCCTCCCTCCCTCCCTCTCTCCTCCCTCCCTCCCTCTCTTCCTTCTTTCCTTCCTTCCTTCCTTCCTTCCTTCCTTCCTTCCTTCCTTCCTTCCTTCCTTCCTGTCCTCTTCCCTTCCCTTCCTTTATCCCTTCCCCTCCCTCCCTTCCCTTCCCTTCCCTTCCCTCATCCTTTCCCCCATTCCTTCCCTCCAGAAATAACATTCACAGAGACACCTTCCATGTGAAGGAGAGCACACACTTGCCCAGCCTCTGTCCCCCGAAATCAAGGCTCTAGGCACAGGACCAGACACATCCTGCCAGGAGCCCAGCGAGAGGAGCAGGGGTAAGTGAGACAGTAAGAATTGAGGCAAGTTGTCAGAACTTCCTGGTCCTGTGTCTTTAGCGCCCGGATTTGGGTGGGGCACTGCGGTGGGAAAGGGTGAGGATTTGCTGTGGGTTTTAGAAAATAGCACAGATGTCCATGTGTGTTGGAGGGCTTAGTGGATGCCAGTACAGAGGCCAGACAGATGGACTAGTGGCCTCTGGAGGCCCTCCTGCCCCTATGTTGCCATAGTTCCCCAGACACAGCACATACACACATCAGCCTTTCTGTCCTTGGCCAGGATCAACGGACAGACATGCACCGTTTCCTCACTAGTAGTGTTCTCACTCACAGCACTAGCAGCAGCCAACCCTTACAGAGGGCTGGCACTGCCCTAAGAGGCTTTACACACATCACAAGGCAGGTACTACGATCTCCACTTTATAGGCAAGAAAACAGAGGCACAGAAAGGTTAAGTAACTTGACCAAGGTCACACAGCTAGAACTTGGCAGCTCCAGGACTCAAAGTCAAGTATGTTTGATAATGACCCGGATGCCACACCGCCTCTCTACAGCACTGGTCTCTTTGGAGCCTGGGGCTCCCTGCTAGGACTTCCCAGGAAGAAAGCGTATTAACCAGGCAGGCAATTCATAACTGGGTCTAAGTGCAGCTGGCCCTTGTTTATATAGGCTATGCAATCTATTCAGGGAACATTCAAATAAAATGTCACCCTGCTCCCCAATAGGTGCCAGAGCTCATTTTTCTCTATTCTTCCCCCCATCCTCCTTCACTGACCCAGATCCCTCATGCCTTAGGTAGTCAGCAAAAAGTACAGGCACAGACAGAGGGAAGGGCATTGCCTGCGGGCACAACAAAGGCAGTGGCAAGACCTTGAACTACACAGACTCAGACTGAAACTTCCTCACTGCAGATAAAATACATCCACGCCCACCCTAAGCTCCTCAAAAGACCCCCGAGGCTGTCAGACAGCAGCAGACGGCAGCCCTCCTCTGCTTATTGCTCACTCAGTGGCCACGAAGGAGATCCCCCTGGGCCGTGTGTGCCTTCTCCCCGAGCCCTGGCTCCACCATTGAGTACGAGGTGCTTCCAACCACTCACAGGACAGCCCTGGGTGGTGCCACTCACCCAGGTCCATATCTGCAGCCTTGGGCCGGTGGGAGCAAGGCACGTTCTTGAAGATGGCATCCAGAATCTTCTCCTTGACCTGAGTGATGGTGTCACAGTTGAGGATCTTCACTGGCACCTCAGGGCTGTTGGCATTGTCTGGGTTGACACAGCTCAGGACCTGGGGGAGTGGGAGGGGGAGAGAAGCACGTGGAGAGGGCAGCAGGAAGAGCTTGGAGGGTCCCTGCAGCATTCCGGGGCCCCTGTCCCCACCAGCTCTCCCTCTGCAGGCTGGACTGGAGGGAGCTAGGGAGAGCCCAGCCCAACTCTGTTTCCAACCACGACCTCTGCCCTCTAGTCCTACAAGCAGCAGGAAGGCACTGTGACTTCAGGGTCATTGCAGGAGTAGGGGCTGCACACTATACAATCCTGGTTTTTTCAGAGAACCATGTCCAAGTAGGAGGAGGCAGCTCTACACACACACACACACACACACACACACACACACACACACATACATACACACACATGTGCAGAGGTACCGTCTCAAGTCCACACCCAGACTCTCACCCACTGCTGAACCACCGCCCCCCCACCACTCCCATCTGTGTGTCTGCCTGTCTTTCTTGTCCTCCCTCTCACACACATGCACACTAATGTGAATCTGGTGCCTTTCTCTCAAGATTTCATAAGCTTCGGGTTTATGAGGGTTTGGGGCTGACTGGAGGTTGCAGAGGCCATATGAAGCTTAATGTGTTCTTTAAACATTTCAGGTTCAGGCCACCTGAGACCCCTGCCTGGCTTTGAACCTGAAACTTTGTGTTAGGGGAAGAGGCTACCTTGGCTCAGGACCTCCACTTCTCCTTCTGGAACTAGTCAGAAAAGTTAAGACTGCTTAAAGCATCTAACTGTATATTTTCCTTTAAAAACTTCTGGGATATTTCCAAAGGCCTTTCTTCCCTTGCTGTTCTCAGAGACTCTCTCTGCATGGCTGAGGCCGCGGGGGGTCCTGGGGGACCACAGTGGAATGGGCGCATTCTGTGGGGCACAGGGGCTGGCTTGTGGCCATGCCACTCTGGGCACCTGCACCCTCCCTCCCTCCGACCCTGCTGCCTCTTCTCCTCTGAACTTCCACTGCACCCTCAACCCAACCATTTCCCAATTGCATGTCTGGTTTCCCCCCTCCTCCCTCTCCTCCCCCTCTTCCCCATCAACCCCTCACCCCCAATCACCCCCACTCCATGTGGTGGCAATCAGAACCCTGGCCCCTGGATGCCTGCCTTTCATTAGCAGCCAGACTGCTATGAGCTCAAATAGGAACATGCTTATTCCATTAAGAAGGAAAAAAAAAAAAAAAAACAACCTCCTAAATCTGTAAAACTCAAACTCTCATTCTCAAAATGTCCTAAACGGAGAACAATGGTGGAAGGAACTCTGAACCATGTGTCGCTCTGAGGGCCCTCGCCAGCCACTCTGTCCTTTAAAAGTCTCCCGAACCCTCCCTGCTGCTCCGTGCCCTGGCCTCCCTGCTGCCCTGTGTCCTGGGCCTGCCTCGAGCAGCGAGGCAGCGTGTTCTGGGCCTCCTCCACCAAGAGAGCAAGAGGAGAGGCTGTCTCTTGGGCACGATCTCCTGACATTTCCACTTGCCCAGGGTACAGGGGGCCCTGTGAGAACTCCATGGAGCTCAGGGCCTGCAGAGAAGCAGCAGTGGCCCCACTGAGGGACAGGATTCCCAGCTCCGGCAAAGCCACAGCTCCAGCCAGAAGTTTCCTTCCCACCTCCACTCCCCTGGCTAGTTTCTGAGCAAACTTCCTGGTGTTTTGTTTTGTTTTGTTTTGTTTTGTTTTGTTTTGTTTTCCTTTTTCTGCTAGGTGAGGGTTTTTGAATGCAGATTCTGATTCAGGAGGTCTAGGATGGGGCTTGAAATTCTGCATTGTAGCAGGCTCTTGGGTTAGCATCTAGCAGGCTCTTGGGTGAGCATCTAGCATCTAGCAGGCTCCTAGGTGATGCAGATAGGCACTCTCAGCAGGAGAACACGAGTCTAAATTCTAGTATCAATACAATTAATCACTCAGCACTTAAGAGGGGCAGCTGCTAAAGTGATATGTCCCCAAGCCAGTCAGGAACTGTCTCATTCTTTGTGTTATCCCTCCTGCCAAGAACAGGGTCACCATCAGTTGGCCCAAAGCACCCTGGGTTCCTCCAGCCACTGCTAATCCCATGACCTCCTGTCTTTTTTCAACCCCTTCCTCTTGGAGACTCGGTCAGCCCCGTGTGCTGCTGCCGAACATTTTTTTTCTTTCCGATCCTCACCAGCCTTGGGGCTATTCCCACTTCTGTGTGTGGGAGTTTCCTTTCACAGGCCTAAAGGCGGCTGTTAAATATCCCTGCAGCCAAATTTCTTCTCTGGGCAAAACAATTGTAATTTCTTCCCCCGCCCCCCCCCCCCCCCCCCATTCCTCACAGAGACTCTTCCCAGGTTTCCACCTTCCTGGATGCTCTTCCCTGACCCCCTCTGACTTCCCCACGTGCTCTGTAAGCAAGCCTGAATGAGTCAGCTGTGCTAAAGACACCTTAACCTATGGAATAAAAGACCCCGCAGTTTGGGCACAGAGCATTCTTACAGCTCATTGTGTTGGATGCAATATTGGGGAACCACTGATGAGATGGGAAAGAAAGGGAGTGAAGGGGGAGAGATCCAGCAGAGATGTTTCAATAGCAGTCTGGCTCATTAAGAAGTCTCTTCAAGTCTCTATTTTTGGAAGATGTTTTCCCCTTTCCCATTTTAATAGGAGCCTCTAATGTCCTCCTCCAGAGCAGACCATGCCTGCAGGAAGCAGGGGCCCTGGCCCCACGCTACTCCTTTAAAGCTTAGCGACTGAGCCAATCCGGGTGAGTCTGTGGGATGCTGCTGGGCTTCCCAGGGCCTCTGAAGCTGGAGTACCAGGTGCATCATGGTCACATCACTCTCAGACAGCAGGAATGGCTTTATTCAGAGTGGCTGGGACAGTCCCCTAGCTGGCCTCCGTGTCTGGGACTCTCTTTCTTTCACTGACCCTCACATCTGGCTCTGCCATGTCCATGCCCCACAGTGTGTGTTCAATCTCCTGCTCTGGTCACCCCTTGAGCATCACCCCCCAGCAACTTGACATTTTTCTTATTTTCTCAGTTCCTTTCCACTTCCTGTCCCCTTCCCTATGGAAGGCCTGTTGGGAGATCACAACTCTCTTCTAAAATGCCAGAGAGAGGGCTCCCTGGGCTGGAGGGAGCGGGCAGGCTTGGTGGCAGTGAGGCAAGACGGCAGGGAGCGCTTGCCCGGAGCTCAGCGCCTTCCCTTCCTCTCCCATTCCATCCTCTGCACAACTTCAGGGGCTGCATACTATTGTCATCTCTGCTTTAGTAGGGTCTAGTATTACCCCCATTTTTTTCAGATAAAGAAACACCAACTTGGAGAGATTGAGACCAAGATGAACCCAAAGCACCTTGCTAGTCAGAAATGGAGTCAGGGCTCCAAGCCTGGCCGGCCTATTTCTAGACTCCTACAAGCTGAGCTTTGCTGTCTCTGAGGTCTCTGTCAGGAGGTGATGTCTAACCTCCACAGAGGGGTTCCCCACCTTCCCTGAACAATGCCTCCACCACTAGGCTCTCCTGGCCTCATGTTCCACAGCTCGGGACATGCGGGTTTGACTTGAACCAGTGGGCACAGGTGGGCCTCAGAACCACGAGGAACTCTTCCCGGGCTCAGCTCCTTCATGCCCCCACCCGCTCTCTGTGTGGAAGTGTCCACTCTCCTCGCTGGGAGAATGGACGAGAAAGAAGGTGTTCCTTCAGGGGGGTCAGTCAAGCAGCAGGGGCTCAGCACCCCACGGTTCAGCCCACTAGACTTTTGCTGAAGTGTTGCTCAGGTGTATCTGAGCTATTGGTCCCTGATCCAGGTGCCCCAGAGTGGTGGTACAGAGGACATCTGGGGTGACAGGCACAGTTGGAGCAGCTGGCTAGACCCTTGCAGTGAGCAAATCTGGAGAGGTGGCTTTTCGGCATTTCCACTGTCTCCGCTGCCCTGGGCTCAGGGGAAAGGCTATGGGGCTGGCTTACCAGGGTTTTGTAGTCGATCTGCTGGCGTATGAGCTTGTCCTCACTCAGGGAGTAGCGGGCCTCCCCCGTGATGGCATCGATGGGCCCCTTCTCCATCTGCTGTTTGATGGCGCAGAAGAGCGAGAAGAGGGGCTCCCCGGCACACTCCTGGCGAGAACAACCATGCTGGGCGGCTGCTGGACCACAGGTGAGCAGGGCCCAGCCTCCTACGGCCCCTGTCTCTCCCAAGGGCTGCTGTATGCTCCTCTGGTTCACTTCCCTCCTCCTGTTCCCACCTGCTGTACTCTTGGGTTTTCAACTCTCACCTTCAGAGGTACGTCTCTCTGGGCTCCTTTGCCCACATTGTCCTCTCCCATCTGCCCTGTCCCGCCACCATCCTGCAGCTCTTCGTCTCTTCCTGCCTCTCACCCCCTCTCTAGTTCTTTGCCCCATCCCACTCCACCCACTTTCTCTGCAGCCCTATCTTGAGGCCGAGGCCAGTCCTCAGTGCTGTGACCTCCTTAGCAAACAAGCCAATAATTGGATGTCGGGCAGCTCTTCCAAATCGCAGGCGCATCGTCACTTATCTGCTGGCACAGCAGCTGCTCTACCAGCCTGGGACCCTTCTGGGCCTCAGCCAGTCTGGGGCTGGAAGAGGCAGGAGGGAGAAGAAGAGGGAAAGCAGGGAAGTAGGGGTGAGCTGGTTTTAGCTGAATGGCCCCTGCGGGTCCTCTCAGAGGCTCATCTCCGCTCACCCCAGAGAAAGCAGACTACGGGACCCATCGCTGGAGCTGGGACTGACTGTGAGGCTGTCTCTGACATGTCAGGAGCCCATTCCCTCAGTGACAAGGGAAACTGGGTTTCTTTGGGGTACTCCCAGCCAGGCCCTGGAGGTGGGTAGAGACTTGGGGGCCGTGAGGGAAATGGGGCAGGCTGGGGAGGAGGCAGGTTGGTGCCCAGGCTGATGGGGAAACGGGGGCAAGGCCAGAGATATCCCCACAGCCAAGCATACCTTGAGGAACTTGTAGAGCAGGAAGGTGAACCAATTGGTCAACATCTTCTCGGCCACTGACTCAGTCCTGTCACCCACCACACGGGGGCCAGCAGAGGAAGACAAAGACAGAAGCAGCCAGTCAGACCCCAAGAATGCATAGGCAGGGGAAAAGTCTGCATGGGTCTTGCTGCTTAAGGTTTTTGGATCAAATCCTGAGGTCCAAAGAACTGAGTCCACAGACTCCCAGACACCCCGTAGTGATGAGACAAGCTCTGCCTGTGAGGCTGGAGCTGCTGCTCTGGGCCTGGGCTCCCGGTGGGTTTGGTGGGAACAGGTTAGCAGTGCTGGGCCCTGTGTGTGGTGATGAAAACGCTCTGACTGCTGCCCAATAGCCACCAGGCATATGTGCCTACAGGGCAGTTGAAATGCGGCCAGAGCATCTGAGGAGCTGAATTTGCATTTTATTTACCTTTAATTAATTTAAATTTTATAAGTCGCATGTGGCTCGTAGTGCTCACATTGGGCCTTAGAGAACTTTATAGTTCATTTGGGTGAGAAAAGAAAAACAAAAAACCTGGGAGTTTCTAATCTGGCAGACAATAGAAAGGAAATTGGCAGGAGCAGAGGGAGCTGGCAAAAAAGCCAGATTAGACCGACCCAGCACCTAAGCTGAAGACTCAGAGCTGTCAGCAGCATGTGCCTAGCTCTTCCCAAGAGGTGCCAGGATTTTTCCCTTTCAAAGGCTTGAACTTCCTCTGGGAACCCTTCCGCTGTTTCATTTACAATAACAGAAAGTTCCTTCTCGAGTCTAACTTGCATCTTTCATGCTGCTATCCAAGTCCATTCAGTCTTTTACTTTGGAAGTGAAGACACAGTAGCAGTGTTACTGGCCTAAGGCCACTTTTGGTTGCATCCACTTAGAGGAAACAAACCATACTCAGCCTTGCACTAAGCATGTGGCCAGCTCCAAAGAGAATCCAGCCCATCCAGGCATGTTTACATAGATTTTAAAGTTGCAGGTACCTGAAGATACTAATAGCTAAAATCCCAAGACAGCTGGGCAGTTGCCAGCACACTGAAGGTGAGAGGAGAAAAGAAGGAAGGCTGTTGAAAGGAGCGGAGCAGCCATGGGCAAGAAGAAGAAAGGCGATGAAGGCAGGCAGAAGAGAGAAAGGGCATCTGGGAGAGAGCGAGCAAAAAACAAGAGCAGGAGAGACAGACCCAGAGCAAGTCCACACCCGGATATACCCTAGCTCTGGCAGGCCATGACAACCCTAGCATTATGCCAGCGGGGAGCTGCGTGGTGGAAGCCAAACAAAAATCAAAGTGATGCTCCGTGCTGTTTCCAAAGCGGTTCAGCTGCTCCTGCACGTAGCAACCTTTGCAGCTGCGTAGGCCAAGGCCCGTTGCATCCGATAAGGCCTGGGGTCAGCGCTCTGAAAGCCACATCTATGCACGGTTCCAAGCAGGAGGTCCTGTCTTGACCAAGGATGGGAGGCAGGCGGTAAATGGTGGTCCAGGCAGAGGATCGGACATGATGGTTTTCCATCTTCGTCTACTCCATAGATTCTACAGGAAGGCTAACAACACTGGAATAACAGCCTGAACGAGAAAAGGCCTTCGAGTTCATGGAAAGTGCCAATGGCAGCGTGGATAGAGTCAGAGGGTCTAACTAGTGTAAGGTGGAAGCCACAGGATCTGGCTATGAATTCACATGTGACCACTGGGTTTCAAGGGTCCAGGATGAGGCACCATTCATGTGAGCAGTGGACCCTGGAACTGTGCAGAGCCTAGAACAGGTGCCAGGAAATCCCTGCTGCAATGCATCAGGCAAGTTGCTGTTGAAGGGTTTGAATTAATATATAGGCTGGACCACACTTCTCAAACGTTAATACACATTCAGATCACCTCAGTGTCTCGTCAAAATGCAGACTCTGCTCCACGGAGTGTGGGAAGGGACCCGGGATGCTGGCTGCATCTCCAATAGCTCTCGGTGATATTTAATTTTACTTACTTTTAATTCATTTATATTTAAATAGTCACGTATGGCTCATAGTGATCACAAGCAGACAGGTAGCAGTGCGAGTGGCTTGGGGCTCAAACTTCCCATCCTGAAATGGTGGAATGGGTTCCTGAAGTGGCCTTGGGGTATCTCTCCTAATTCAGATTCTGATTTGGTCAAAGCCAGGGGATCTAAAGATCCCACAAGAGAAGAATTCCAGCCAATAGGGTCAAAACCAGGGGAGCAAAAGGGAAGAGAGAGGATGATAGAGAGCAGATATAGAAGCAGATTAAACACTACAAGGTGAGCAGCTGGGCGTGGCCAGTTGCATGATGGACAGGTTCTTTAAAGAAGGTGTGGGGTGCCCCCAGCCTTTGGGCAAGTCGGTCCCTGACCTTGGGGGACTTGGCTACTCCTAGGAGCTCTGCCCTGGTCTCCTTGGAAGGCAAAGGCCAGGCCTGGCGGGTGGGAGTAGGGACCCTCTGACCTGCGCCACCTCTCACCTCCGGAGCAGCAGCTTGGGGTGGTTCTTGCTCTCCAGGTTCTTGTCGATGAGGTCGGCCAGCAGCTGCTTCAGCACGTCGGTGGCGTACTCCAGCTTGCTCTGCAGCACTGTCATGATGAGCGAGGCCACGTTGCCGCGGTCGCGCATGGAGAAACTGCGCTGGGACTCGAGCGTGCGGATGAAGGACAGCAGGAACACCTTGTTGTTGATGAGCTGCGCAAAGAGCTTCAGGCCTTTCTCCACGCGCTCCTGCCGGTAACCCGGGACCTGCCGAGGAGACCAGGTTCTGACTGCCACCTGCGAGGGCGAGGCTGGCGGAGCCCGGTCATGCCCCCGCAGGGTGGGCTGTGCACACTGCTGACCGCCACTTACCCTCTGCAGCCTGGCTAATGCTGTCACATCCCCTACCTAGTGCCAGCTAGCTACTTAGCCTCTGTCACAGCCCACGTGTGGGTCACTGTCTGTGGAGATGAACCGAGTGAGGCACAAAGAGAACATCCCTGTGAGGAATAGGGACATGGGTTGGAACCCATATCTGCCCGTGGGGCGGCCTCAGCTCTTCCCTGATGGTGCAGTGGAGTTGAGGAGGTGCCCCACACCACAGCCACCCACCGTCGTGCCCCTGGTGGGGACTCCGGGACGTGGGCTGTTGTGGGTTGCACCCTGGCTGATGGTTCACAGGCCTGAGCCTTTGCTGACCTAATGCTGGCCCATCTCCAGACCCGTGGGTCCTACTGGCAGGCCAGTGGCCTCACAACCAGGACTTCAGGTTTCCCGTGGGCACTGATACCAGCCTCTAGGCAAGCTCAGACAAGTCCTTTACTTCTGTAGGAGGAGGAGGCACAAGTACATGCACCTGTAAGAATGGGAAGATTTAGCCCAACAGCCTCCCAGGCATTCCCTAACTCTAGCATTCCCTTCCTGGGGAAGGGGAGGAATGAGGCTTTATCTTCCTGCCTGCATCATCTGTTCACTGGGAGACCCAAGCAAAGGTGGAAGGGTGTGCTACCCACTCAGCAAACATTAGCCAGCGGCTGGACCAGCCCGAGAAGACGCTGCTGGGAGATGCCCAAGGGTGGGCACAGCACCCTGTAGGAAACGGCCCAAACCGAACACAGCCAGATGCCCTGCAGCAAGAGCATGGCTCAAGGAGCTGCGGTACATTCACCCGGTGGAATCCCACACAGCCGGGGGAAGGAACTGCCACTCACAGGAACAGGGATGCACCTTGCAGACACTGAATGGAAAAAGTCAGACCACAAAGAGGGCAGACTGCATAATACTATTTAGATAAAGATTTGAAAAATAAATAAATAAAATGAATCCATGGTGGCAGGCAGATGCTTTTCTGGGGGTGGCTGTGACGGAGGAGGCATGAGGAACTCTGGGGGTGGGAGTGAGTGGGGAGGGTGGCATTCTGGCTGTGAAGGGCATGGTGGCTGGATGGCTGTGCTCACTCAGGGGAACAGAGCCCTGTTCGGACCACGTGTGTGTAGCTCTGTGTAAATACTCCCATGAGAACAAGGTGCTTGCTTAAACGTAAGGCACAGCCTCTGCCCTGGAGGGGAAGCCGCCCGAGAGTACAGGGCAGGGCATCTCTCGAGAGCTGGGGTGCGGGAGGTGGGAGCTGAAGGTACTATCTAGGCCACATCTTGAGGACTAGGTCCCCGCCGCATGGGTGAGATGCCTTCGGTCATTGGGAAGGATCGTCATGTATGTAGCATGACAGTGTGGCACAGTTTCCGAGCCGGTCAAGCTGGGGTCCCCTCTGTTGCAGACATTTACCAGTTGTGGGGCCCCGAGTAGAGCCAGTTTCTTCATTGACAAAGCGAAGGTGTCACAGCTAATGTGTAGGTGGCTGACCAAAGGCAGGGCTTGGCTCCAACTAGTCTCCGCCTCCGGCCAGCACCTTGCCCTGAACAGACCCAGGGGAAACCCTAAATGAGCGGTGTGAATATTCCAGCTCTGGTTCTGCCACTTTCTCGGTCCTGGGGCAGCCAGGGCTTTCTCTGCTGATCTCTTTGCCCCCATCCGAAACCTCTAGGGGAAAGCAGGATAAAACTGCCGCCACTCTGCCACTCGGCTGTGTCAGGCAGATGCTGCAGGCTTTTCACACTGTGGGTCTTTCCCTGTTCCTGGGAGATGGCAGGATGTGGTGCAGACACACATCCTGGTTCACAGCCTGGCTCTGACACTCCTCTGTCTGGGGATCTCAGGGAAGTCCCTTAGCCTCCTGTGGCCCCAGGGCAATATGGAGCTTCCCTCACAGGGTGTGGTGTGGGATCAATGGATCAGTATGCCATGCTCAGCCCTGGGGGCCCAGCCCTGATCCTGTGAGAAGCACTCTCCTTGAGGTACAGGAGGCCGGCCAACATCTGCCGCTCCCACAGGCCAGGCAGCTGGGAGCTCACTTGTGTTTCTAAGTCAAGTCCTCAGCAACCCCTCATTCCCCAAGGCCTCGCCTGGCCTCCTGCCCTGCTCCCCCACCTCCCACTCATGGGCACTGACAGAGGAAGGCAGGGAGACATGGCCGCCTCACCTTGTCATCAGCCTGGGCCTATACTCACAGCAGGCAGGTGTCTGTCTCCCACGGTCTGCCCCAGCTCTGTGACCATCCCCTTGCACACCTGTGCACACAATTTACTCCTTTTGTCCTCAAACCCCTCAGAGCAACATCTCCTCAACGTGACCTAATAATAATGGGGAGCGCCATTCCTGGGTGCCCACCAAGTGCCATGAGCAGTGTTGCCACCTGGAATGATCATGCAAGGCTAAGTGTGCTCCCTTCCAGCTTCTCTAACGGCTTCTCAGAGAAGCTAGTGTGGCTGTCCCAAGGCCAGTAGCTACAGGTAATACTGGGTTACCAACTACTAGTTTGTCAGTCTCCCAAGCCGCTTCCATCCTCCCCATCTGGGGCCATGTCTACCCTACTCTGCCAGCTCTGAGTCCTCTCTGCAGCCTCCCGGGCCTCCCAGTGGCTCAGGCTCAGGGGCCAAGGGCAGGTTGGCACGGTGGCACCTGGAAAGGAAGAAAGCACACAGGGCTGAGCAGACAGCACCTTCGGCATGAACACGTGCCCTGGACTTCCCACTATGGCTGTACTCGCCTCTGGATGGCAGGGCTGGGCCCCGGGACCCACGGAGAACCAGTGTCTCAGTCAGCAGCCTGGGGTTTGGACTCACAGAAACCAGCTGGCTCATGTGCAGGAAACCCCCGCTCCCTCTGGGCTCTATTCCCTCAGCCATAAAATGAGAATATGAGTGCACGTGTCATAATGTTTTATGGACATTAAATAAGATAATGTATGTAAAGTGCTTGGCGCACGCAGGGCGCACTTACATTTTATTACCTGCCCCTCCCACCTCACTGGCTGCTCTCCTCGATCCCTCTCCCCGGCTATCTAGCTCACTGGCACCGCGTCCCCGTTTTATGACAGGGGAGATGGCAGTGAAGTGTCTCGGTAAAGAGTATCCAGACAATTCCCCTTTGTAACGTGCCACCCTGCCCCCTACCCAAATGCCACTCTGAAACAAGGCTTTCTTTATTCACCAGATGGTTCCATAATTTAGTTGAAGTCTGTGAGTATAAAACTGGATAGTAAATTTTAATTGTAGCCCAATAAGGTAGAGTTAGGAGGCAATGGTAGGTTGAAAATGGTGACTGTTTGCTTTCTGTTTCCAAAGGATTGGCGTGTGTGACCAGTGCCTCGGCAGCAGCTTCCCCAAATGCCCGAATTTCACCCAGATGGTCCCAAAGGGACAGCCTGGAGCCAAAAGACACCTGCTTGTCCACACTCATCCACCACTCATGCCCAACCAGCCGGGCAGGTATTCCGGAGGCTGAAAAGGCTGGAAAACTCTGGTTTACATTAGTTAGTGGCTTCCCTGGGAATATTTCAATTCTCAGGAAGCCAACAGGGAGAAACTATGCTGGTGGCAAATAGGGGTTGGAAAGAAGTAAGAAAACGACGACCCACATAAGATCTCTGGTTCTAGTATAGGGAGCGGAGGTCTCTCATACCCCAGGCTAATGTGGAACAGTGCAAGTTAATTTCTGCCTGCAAGCAATTAATTCATGAGTTTAATGGAAATGGAAAAGTAGTAAGTGTTGGATATATACCCAAAGATTGGAAGCAGGGTCTCAGGAAAATATTTGTGCCATGTGTTCATAGCAGTATTATTTGTAACAGCCAAAAGGTGGAAGCAGCCTGAGGGCCTGTTGACAGATGAATGGATAAACAAAATGTGGTCTATTAAATGGACTATGATTCCACCTTAAAAAGGAAAGAAATTTTGCCTCACGCTACAACACAGGTGAACCTTGACAACATTTTGCACAGTGAACAAACTAGTCACTAAAGGACAATTACTGTCCGGTTCCACTTGTATGAGGTACCAAGAGTAGGTACACTCATAGACAGGGGTCCATGCCGGTGGCCGCAGAGGGAAATGGGGAGTGGTTGTCCAATGGGCACAGAGTTGCGTGGGGAAGATGCAAAGGTTCTGGAGCTGATGATGGTGATGGTTGCACAACCGTGTGGATGTACTCAGTGCCGCTGAACTGGATACCTCAACATGGTCGAAAGTTTATGTTGTGTTTATTTTACTACAACAAAAAAACAAAGCTGTGTGACCTGCTAGATTCAGAACCCATGCCTAACAATTAGCTCTTTCGTGGGCTCCCACTCAGGGAAATTGGTAAAGCTGGCTGTTCACTCATTTGTGAGCTGAGGCTGGGATCAGAGGGCCTCCCCTCTAGAGAAAGGCAAGGGAAATGGAGACTATTTAGGCTTAAGGGGAAACGTTAAGGATCCAGACGAGGAGTAAGGCAGTGGAAGGACATGTGTGATTTATAACGGGCCCAGCCTCTACCTCCCTTTGCAGAATCCTGAAGACATTCCCTCAGGTCAGTACCTGCAAAAGCACTCTCAACTCCCGAGTGATGGGCCTGTTTTATTTTATGGACAATATAAATCTCGGAACTAGTCTTATTTTCTGTTGCTGCTACAGCCACAACCTCCCATCCATCCTAATAAGTAGCCAGCGCCATGAGGCATGACACTGATGGAGCACCTCGGAGTCAGGTGTGCGGGCTTGCTGTCGGAGGGCCAACTCAGGCGTCTCACCGCCTGGACTCAAACCCTGGCCCGCTCCCTCCCAAAATACCCCGTGCCCTTAGTTTTGTCGCCTGTATTAGGAGCATACCTACTTCAGAGGGCTTTTGGGGGGTGAGGGGGTGGGGAAGGGCGCTAAACGAATGCATGCAGGTAAAGTATTTAAAACTGGACCCATCAGAAGTCAACTAGTAGTGACTATTCCTTATGATTATTATTTTGCCCAAGTTTCCTTGTGTATATTTTTCACTTTTCTCTGGTACTTGTATTTATAATTCATTCCAAATCCCTTTCAGAACAAAGGGTAATATGAATATATGTATCAGCCAGATCCTATGCTAGACAGGAAGAGGGATAAAATGTTCAAAAGATGAGGTCCCTGCTGGTACAAAAGAGAGTTAAGTTTTTATCGTTCACTTTCCACTTCCCTTCCCAGTGCGTCACTTATCTTTCCACACAGATTTATTGAGCAGCAACTAAGTGGTGAAATCATCATATCGCAGTCTCTTAAATAAGGGTCCATGAACTCCCAACATTTGCTTGCCAGATTTCTTATTCTGTGAACATGTACAGTTTTTCTGAGGAGAGGAACTTGCATTCAACTCTAAAGGAATGCATGACCCCTAAGTCCCAAAGCCCTATTCCCATCTCTGCTCTGAGGTTTCCGGGCTCGGCCCCACTGCCCTTGGAAGGACCGGCTGGCGCTGACAACTGGGGGTCCTGGTCAACTTGCACCCCCTTCCCTGACCTCAGCTTCCTCGCCTCTGGATCAGGCAGCTAGGCTTGAAGGTCACCAACACCTTTCTCTGTGCTGACCTTGGGAAGGCCTTGGGCATGGGTACGTTTCCTCACCTCGAGGTCCCGAAGGACGGGATGGTCTTCAATTCCCGGGAACAGGACCCGCATGGTGTAGGTTCTATAGTCCAGGAAGGGAATCCCAGCTCCATCCAGGTCACTGGTCAACTCGTGGATGTCTGTCTGCAGCTCAGCAAAGGCTGCCACAAAGAGAAGCCCATGAGACTTCTGGGTCGGGAGTTACTCCCAACTCAGGACCCTAAGACCCCTCACTCAGGCCCCAGGGGACATGAGCAATGGGCCTCAGATATGCAGGAATAAGAAAAGGGGACATTTTCATTTAAGCAGCTGAGGTGAACTACACAGGCACAGGAGAAATGTGCAGCCCAAGGAAGCTTGTCTTGGGCCAAATTCCTTCTAAAGCCTGGATGAGGGCAGGCCATCCACAGATCTGTGCTGCTGCTGGGGCCAGGAGCGCCTCCCCATCTGAAGAAGAAAAGCTTTGATTTGCAAATGTACATGAGGCCCTAGCCATTTGACTCAGTGGATAGAGCATCGGCCTGTGGACCAAAGGGTCCTAGGTTTGATTCTAGTCAAGGGCATGTGCCTCAGTTGCAGGCTCCTCCCTGGCTTGGGCCCTGGTTGGGGCTTGTGCAATAGGCTACCAATCCATGTCTTTCTTCACATTGATATTTCTCTCTATCTTTCCCTCTCTCTTCCACTCTCCCTAAATATCAATGGAAAAAATATCCTCGTGTGATGATTAAAAACAAATGTGCATGGGACTGGGGCCATGGAAGAATGGTGGTTGGGGAAGAGTCGAGGAGGAGTTTCTAGTGATGAAGGGTCTATTTCTGATTCTGTTTGATGGTCCTTTAAGAGTTAAGGACAATTTATTCCGAGTCTCAGTTCTGGGCCATGCAGGTCACTGGAGCCATCAAACCACCAAATGAGGCCAGATGGAGAATCTGTCACCCTATGATATTCCTTCCGCATGAATATGCAGAGTGGGTCTCTGTCCTTCCTTCCACAGGTTGATGCTACTCATTGGTGAAGTATGAGCTGTGTGGGCATTGCTGTCTGTGGAGGCAACTCAGGTGGCCAGAGAGTCACAGAGCTGCAAGAGCCCTCTAGCTCAGGGAAAGGCCAGCACACAGGCTGAGGTTGTTATACAGCCTCAAAGCTGTGACCACACCCTGTCCTGGGCTAGCCTCTGCCACCTGAGGAAGTCAGAAGTAAAGTACCCAGCTCTTCCCTGTTTTGCCTTTCTCTTTGGAACATGCTTGCACACATATAGACACATATACATGCACACGTGTGTGCACACTCCAGAATGGATTAACACATGCTAGCATACATACATGCACATGTGTGTGCACACTCCAGAATGGATTAACACATGCTAACAAAGCCAGTGGATGTTGACTAAACAATATTTCTTTCTGTTTATACAAACACAAGAACTGGTGAAAATACCTGATGGACTCAGAGATTCAAAAGCCCTGCCCTTGAAAAGCATGCCCTGTGTCCAGTGGGCTCTGGTGACCCCAGGAACACAACATGCTGTCCCAGGCCCTGGACCCCACTGCCTCCTGCCGTGCTGACTGCAGGCCTGAGGAGCTTGAGGTTTTGAGCTTGAGGACACCAACGCTTTCTATCTGACAGACAACAGGGAGGCCATGGGGAGCTCCTGTGCTGCTCTCTTCCCGCACCTCTGCTCTGGTCACATGGACACTGGGGGTCCTTGTCAAGTGAAGTGACTCTGAAGCAGAGCAACCCTAATGCATCCCAGCAAACCTGACAGCAATGTGTGTGCACATGTGCTTGTGAAGGGGAGTCAGTGAGCCTTTTTGGCAAGTATTGTCACCAAAGTCCTGATGAACACTCATTTATGTTCATGATGAACACACATGTGCCCTTGTGGGAGAACATGGACATGTACACATGAGCATGAATGCGAATGTGTGTGCTTGAGTGTATGGGTGAGAGTGCATGAGTGGTCATCTGAGTGTGTGTATGTGAGTGTGTGTGTGTGTGTGTGTGTGTGTGTGTGTGTGTGTGTTATATCAGAAGATGACGGGCCCAGGCCAGGGCTCTTCTGAGAGTGTGTGTAGGTGCTGTCCTGGCTCACTGTCATGAGTGTGTGTGCATGTAACGTCCTAGTTCATTGTCAAGTCTTTAGGAAGTCATTTTCCTGGACCCAAGTTGCCCTGAAAACATTTCAGAATCAGCCCTGGGCACCCCTGGAAAGTACTTCAGATGAACCTCATGCTGCTCTAGTCCTCTCTTCCTGCCACGTGGGATGGCTCTCCCCTGAGCAGAGGCTAGGGCTCTCCTGGCACCTCCGTTGATGCTCAGCTGGCCTCCCTGTCTGATGATAATTGCCCCTCCTCTGGAACATTCTCAGAGAGGAGCCTGGCTTCACCCTGCCCTCGGCGCCCCTCCCAGTTGGGGTGCTCATCTGGTGAGGAGGAGAGGGAGAGAGCTGGCTTTTTATCAGTCTGCAGCTTCTCTTCAAGTCACCAAGTGCCTCCAACACTCAAAGCCTCACGCCTGCCACACATAAAAGAGATTCTAATCACTACTCCTAATTAGAAGAAAGAGTACATTGCAAAAAAAAAAAAAAGGCATCGAAAATATAATAAAAGGCAGTAATTAACAGTCCCACAAGGCGGATGTGCGTTGACAGCAAAAGGATGTGGAGAGGGGATGAATGGAATGGACCCACCTCCCATCAGAGAGCCCCAGGTAGGGGCCAGATTTACTCTGTGTATAAACCCACAGCAAGCAGCCACTCACCCCTCCCCGGTTACTCCCAGAATGATATCCAAGGGGTGACAAGAGTCTGACTCCTTAATTTCCTTCTGAGGTTCTGTGCAGCTGGTTTCAGTTCATGGTGCATTGGTAATTTCTAAAATACAAGCTGTGAAACACTCTTCCTTCTAAATCTCAGATCAACCCTGCAGCCCTGCCTTCTTTCTGGAAGACAGCCCCCTGAGAGGGCAGCACAAAACCCACGGGCCAGGATTCTCATGGGATTTGAAATGACCCCAGCTTGACTGGGGGCACATCTTGAGGAAGGGCACAAAAAGGCAGGGCACATCTTGAGGAAGAGGGACAGGAGGCTTTAGCTTACCTGGCCTTGCCTGGGTGGGGACTGGCTAGGATATGGGATTAGTCTGGGCACAGGCTTGTTGGTCAGAATTCAGAATTCAAGTTCTGCAGGTAGAAACTCAACCCCCAGCACTGCCCACTGCTGCCCAGCCGGGCTGACCTACTGCTTATGTGTGAGCCACACATGTACACATGCGCACACACACACACACACACACGTATGCAAATGCACATGCACACCCAGCCTCCAGTGTGGAGCCACAGCCACCTGGCCACTCAGTACCTTCTTTGCACTCCAGGGCTACCCTGGACTCCAGGTTGTCCATCTGCATCTGCAACCGCTTCAGTGTGAGGTCGCTTTCTCGGGACTTGCGTTTGTAGGCGATGAGCACGGCCACGATGAAGATGATGAGGAGGCCACCCGCCACGGCAATGCTGACGATGGCGGGCAAGCTGAGCGGGCTGTCCGGGGCGATGTACACCATCCCAGGGGAGTACTCCATGCCGCCGACGCGGGCCTGGGGGCATAGTGGGCGAGAGGGAGCTGGGTGTGGGGACAGAGCATCCAAGGACACAGCCCCGGGTCACTGGTGCACTGGTGACCAGGGTGGGACGAGGGAAATGGCTCCTGGGAACAGCAGCATCTTTGGTTGTAAAAACAGCCTAGAGGGCGATTGGGGCTGGGCAAGGGGGTCTGCATAGCTAGCATGGGCACCCCTACAGCGGGAAAATTCATTCTTTCTTATCCAAAAGACAACATGGGCATCTTCAAAGGAAATGGCACACAACTGGGATCTAAGAGTGTGACATGATGAAATCAATCACTGGGTCCTGTCACTCATCCCATTATAAGGACTGGTGACCGTGGCACAGACATGATATTGGGGACCTCCACAGGCCAACAAGGGTCCTTTTTTGGAAGAGTCTCCTGCTCATGATGACCAATTTAACACATCATTGAAAGTGACTTGCTTTGCTCTCATCATGGTGCCAGTCAATGTGGAAGGACCGACAGTGCAGGAAAAGGAAGTCCGAAGAAAGACAGGGTGGGAATAGGGTGTGGGGAGGTTGGAGGAAAGTTGAAACAGGCCAGGATCCCCTCCAGGGATGCCTGGGGGCACAAGGTGGAGCTGGGCCACTCACACCCCGGTCCCTATGCCCCGTCTACCCAGGACAGACAGGGCCCACAGCCTCACCATCACTTTGTGCCTGCCAATGAGGTTGGGCGACTCGCAGAGCAGCTGCACGTCGGACACCGTCACGGCACACGGTTTCTCCCCGACCAGCACGGTGTAGTTCAGCTTCACATTGCCCCCAGCTACGGGGGGGATCAGGTTCTTGCCCTGGATGGACAGGAAACCCAGTTCCCACCCCAGAGTCAGGGCCACAGCCACTGCTGACTACCTGTTCTCCTGTCATAGTTTCCAACTCACTGGTGAGCCGGTGGAGAAGCCACCTTCCCCAGTAAGTCCACCAAAACCATGGCCCATACACTACCATCCCCCCTTTCTCAGTTGATATCAATAATCAAGGCATTCTTTTCAGCTTATCCCAAACGCAGCTTCAGAATCCTTCTCAACCCAGAGTTATCAGCCACTAGCGGTGGATTCAAATTGCCATAGAAGTTAAAATTAAATTGCCCACACTCCAAATTAAACCCTATGTTTTGATTTTCAAAAGGCTGCGCAGAAAGTATCAGTCTGAACCTTTGACCTCCCAGCATCTGACAAAGCTCGGGAGTCTGATGGCCAGTGTGGATGTGGCTGCCCTGACCAGGTCTCCATGGCCTGTAAGGGGAGTGAGCCTTCAGCACAAACTCAGGGAGAGCATTTGCATACTCTGAGCTAGGGACTCCAGTCACAGTCTGAGCTAGGGACTCCAGTCACACGTTGGCAGGAGCCCGAGGCTTCTGGCCTCTCTCTTGTGCAGCGGCCATCTTTCTTCCCACCCCAAAGCCTCCAGCCTCAGTCTACCTTCAGGATGATGGGTGTGCCAGGCTTGAGCTCCAGGATTCCCGAGGGACCAAAGGCCTCAAACACGGGATTGGGATAGTAGGTGAAATTGGTCTTGTTGAGGATGAGCAGGGACTGGACGTTGTCCAGGATGAAGCCGAACTCCTCTGGCCTCTCAGTCAGGTCAGACTGGTGGTCGGGTCCCAGAGCGAGGGCCGGAGCTTGGCAGGTCATCTCAGTGGCATTCAGAACCTCACAGAGCTGTGGAGGAGCAGAAGGGAGACTCAGCCGCATGTGGCAGGGGGTTGACATAGACAGTTATGCCTGAGTCAGAATCCTTTGCAGCCAGGAACACACAGCCTAGGCACTCAGGGAATGTGTTCTGCATGCACCTTGTTCCACATTGCCCATGGCAAGTATGGCAGTGACTAGGTCATCTCTAAACTAAGGAGCAGAACTGGGGTCAGAAGACTGGAGGAGAATGCCTATAAAGCTCCATATACCCTAGAAGCCACTGGCCCTCCCTTCCTATACCCCAAGATGTGAAAATGCCCTCATTCTGCTCAGGGGCATCACACAAAAAGGGTCATCAGTGTCCGGGGTGGGCCCCTCTGAGTCCCCAGGGAGACCCACACCCTTTAGGGAGGTGACATGCTGGGTGGACAGCCCCCGTGACCCCTGCCAACCACAGACTCACATTGATGTGCTCCTTCCCTCCGTGCTTGGCACGGATCTGGGGGTTTTGGATGAGGTTCAGGTGAGTCCCCCACACGGTGATGGGTGTGTTCCCACTGCCCGGGAAAAGAGAAAGAGGCTTGTGAACAGAAGGATAGGGCAGCAATGGTTCTCGGTGACGATGATGACATAACCACCCTGGCTGCGCTTCCACATTAAAGACAACAGTAGCCAGTCAGCATGACAACATTCATGGGGACAAGGCTGACGAGCTGACTGCATAATAACTAGGAGGAGCTCTCAGCAGCCAAGGCAAAGACAGTGATGACCAGATGTCTGTGGCCACCCTGCGCTGAGCTCATTTGGAGCACAGACACCCTGTGGAGACCAGGTCTGACACTCGGCCCTTTTAGCTCCCCAAGGCCTCCGGCCTCTAGCCTCCAGCCAGCTGCTCCTTTGCAGACCCCTGGGGTCTCCTTCTCCAGCTCTCACCAGTCCACAGTGCCCTTGACCTTGTGGACCAGACTGTCCCCACCAGACCCTCCAGGGCCTGAGCACAGCTTCCTTCCCAGGGCAACCATACCACCAATTGCCATGGTAGAAGCTTCAGCCAGCTTAGGGCCAGGGAAGGCAGAGGCCCAGACACTCGGGAGCCTCCTCTCAGAATGCAAAGGGGACAGGCTCCCAGGCTCAGTCTCCCACACCCCGGTGTCTGCCAGAGGAGGAGGATGGGTGCGGGGTCAGGAGGTTCACTTTGAGCAGCTTTACAAGGCAGCCTGGGTGTCAGTGCTCTCCTTTTGGGTGGCTAAGAAGCTGACATGGTGGGGGGGCTATCTTCTTTGGGGACAACTCACAGGACAGGGAGGAATCACCTTTCCCACAACCAAGGGAGTGTCTTCAAGAAGAACCCTACTACCTACAACAATTGAGTAGTTATATGTGTGCTGGGTACAGAACCCTGGACATCCATTCATTTCTACCCTCTAGTCTCCTGCCCTTCTTTACTCTCACTGTAACTTCCCCTGCCTTTCTCTTGCCTCCATCTGTCCCCCAACACTCACTCACACACATGCCTGCGCGTGCACGCGCACACACGTGTGCAGAAAGATTCCCATGAATCTGAGGGCAGTGTTTGAGCTTCTGATATCCAGCCATCTCCTGATCTTCTCAATCAATTCAAAACACATTTATCCAACGTCCCCCATCACTGATCCTCAGTATCCCAGGGTGGAAGCCATGCAGAGGCAGAAAGTCTGCAGAGCCCTCCTGCCTGTCCCCCAGCGTGGGCTTCAACTGCAGCAAAACCCTGGAGCCGCTGGTGGACGCAGGACCGTGCTCTACCCCTGTTGATGACAACAGGAAGGATGGCACTTCCGTTTCTGTGACAGTGACATGAGGAAGCACTGAATTAACCAGGCTGAGAATTCCTCAGGAGGTTGCAGAGTTTGTCTTAGGCAAAGGGGTCTATGCCAACTCCCCAGGCCCTGGGGGCAAACCCTGGAGTTGATTTTTACAGGCTATGTCCCCTCTCCTTGCCTATAGGCTGCATCTGCTTAAGATCATGGCTAAAACTTAGTAGGTTTGGTCAAAGAGAGTAAATTGATGAGGACAACCAAGTCTCATATCAGAGATGCTGCCTTTCCTTGGGTATAAGCCTGGGGGTGGCAAACTCTTTCTGTAAAGGGCCAGAGACTAAATACTGCCGGCTTCCCAGGCTGTGTGGTCTGCCACAGTTCCTCAGCTCTGTTCTTATGGTGAGAAAGCAGCTATAGACAAAACATATACAAATGAGCGTGGCTGTGTTCAAATAAAACTTTATTTCAAAAGCCAGATTTGGACAGCCAGATTTGGCGTCCATGCTGGAGTTTGCTAACTCCTGGTTTCAAGGATTATTCTCTGGACTGAAGTGGTCTCTGACTCCTGCCTCAGCTTGTGGAGACGATATCTTCATGCCCTCCACTCCCTGCTGACCCCTGGCAAACAGTGGGAGAGCTGAGGACTGAGGGCCAGGGAGGAAGAGGGAGCTGAGCCAGACAGCATGCTGTGCCTCTGTACCCCTTAATCCTCTCAGCCGCCCTCAGAGGGAGGTTAAGTAACTCCTGGGGTCACTTGGCGGTAAGCAGTGGAGCTGGGCTAAGCTCACTCCTGCCCCAAACCCGGTTCCATTCCCCATGTGGCCCCTGATACAGCCATTTTCCCACTGTCACCAGGGGCCTTGCAGTCAGGATGCCCTCTTGAAGGGCCTGGCAAAGCAGACCCATGCTACCTGCCTGAAGTTCCTTCCTGTGGTGGATCCCTCACTCCTGGCATCACCAAGCCAGGGCTGAAAGGAACCCAGGTCCTGGGGTTTCCAAAGCCCCAGGTGAGTTGCCCAAGAGGTGCAGATCCTGGGAAATGATGCAACAGACCCAAGTCATCTTGTGAACGGCTGAGCACGAGACTGCACTGGAGGGTCTTTCTGGAGCAGTATCATGCCTGCTCCCTTTGTCTAAGAAACATGTTCTGTGGACTCCCAAAGAGCACGGGGGGAAATGTGGGAATCCAGACCAGGTCCCTGCCCTGGGGGAGTGTGCAGCAGAAGGAAGGACAAAGCCAGCGGGAAGCTAGAGGTCATGGCTGCTGAGACACAGGTGGCCACAGAAGCAGAGGATGGGCCTCCTCACCAAACCCCGGAGGTTGGGGTGTGCTTTCCTTCCAGAGCAGGCCAAGAAGAAGCTGGACCGGACCTTACTCTTCCTCTTGCGCTCCCCCGCAGGACTTGAATTACTGTCCCTATTTGCCAGAAGCGAGGTTTAAGGAGTAGGATGACACCTAACCCGACAGTCACGGTGAGACCAACAAGAGTCTGGCCACGAAGTCCTGCATAGAGGTGCTCTCAGGGGAAGGAGGGAACCAACTCCAGTTCATCAGTCCCCAAAGCAGCACTTGGTCCCCAGAACTCTCTTTGGCGATTGAGAGTCGAGGGAGGAAAGCGAGGTTGGACAGTGCCTACCTGACGATGCTCCACTCTGGCTCAATCCGCACGATGGTGGGGTCCTCCATGTACTGGAAGACCAGGTCCTGGTGGATCTTGGCCCTGTCCACCTGCACCATCACTTCCATCGCCAGCACCTCCTCTGAGGATGTGGTGTTGCAGACAATGTAGGATGAAGAGCGCCTGGAGGGAGGGAAAACATGGAGCTGGGTTCCTGGGGTCCAGAAAGGGTGGTGGTCCCCAGTCAGGGCCCTCTCACCACCAGGCTACACCCATTTGTCAGGCCCCTCAGAGGCAATGGTGAGCACTGCCTCCAACATAAACCTCTGGGAAGGACTGGCAAAGACAGGCTCTCTTGAGCCCTCTTTCTGCCTCATCCTCGGGTCTTGCCTTCAAACCTGCCTAGCCCCACTCTTGGCGAGAATCCTGCTAATTCAGTTTAGCAAGAATCCCCCAACCCTTGCTATCTATCTGATCAAATTTCTCATCCTTCACCCCAGATATCTGATCCCCCTGGCCAGCCTTCAGCAAGAATCCTGTTATGTTGGTTTAGTAAGGATCACTCTACCTTTAATCTTTCCTCTTAGTAATTTTCCGCCTGCTGACCCCCCCTCACACACACACACCTGCTGTTGGGTGTAAGTGCCCAGCTGTCTCTGCTGTGTGCGGAGCTGAGTCCCATCTCCCTCCTTTGTTGCGATAGCTTGACACTTGCTGAAACAGGCCCTGAGCTTAGCTCCCTCCTGGGAAAACCTCTCTCTGCAGAATTGCTTTCTTGCGGAGACTGGCCCCCTGCCACATCTCATAGAGTCCTTCACTAGACACACTTCCTGCCTCACTGTGCCCCAGGCTCCTGGCTCAGGAAAGGCAGGCCCTTCTGGGGCTGGATGGTGGGACCAGGGGAGAGAAAGCCAGATGCCTTTGGATATACAGTCGAGCGAGCTGGGGAAGCTGCCCCTGCCAGCTGTCAGCAGTCCCAAACAAGCTAACCCCAGGGGAGGGACTCTAGATTCCAAATCGTGTCCTGTGGAACCCCAGGGTTCTGCCAGTAGGCAGTATGGGGCACCAAGGTGAATGTGGGCAACAGCACAAGGGCCTATCCAGGGGTAGGGTGGCTGGGCCAAACATCCCCAGCCAGGTGTACCCAGAAAGCCACTTTCCAGGGAGGTAGCAGCCATCCCAGAGGTCAGCCTGGGGAAGCCTGCTGCCTGGCTGTGCACCCCAAAGTCTGCCCCATGCTTACCTGTGGAAGAGACAGGGCTGCCTGCCGAAAAGCACCACCACATTGCTGCCTGCGTTCAGGTTGGTGCCAGTGATGGTCACCTGGGTGCCTCCAGACCTGGGCCCCTGGCTGGGCTTCAGGTCTGAGAGAGTCAGCGTCTGTGGAGGAAAGGACCTTGCCTGAGACACAACTGGGACGGGCTGTGGAGGCTCTGCCCAGGCCTGAGGCAGCTCCCACGCCCCAGGCCACCTTCTGGAATCCATACCTGGTGCCTCCCACAGAGCCTGCACAGTTTGTTTACGCTTGTGTGGATAGGCAATGTCTGGCCCTGGAGTTTGCTTTTCTATATTAATAATCTGTAATAATAAAAGTGTAATATGCAAATCAACCAAATGGCCGAACAGCAGAATGACCTCGTGGATGACCACACTATGGCACACACTGGCTCCAGGCCAGCCAAGCAATGCGATTGGGGGGTGTAGGAGCCATCACCCCATGACCACCAGCAAAGGAAGGCCCAGGCAAGGCCACCAGCCAGCAGGGTGATCGATGGAGGGAGAGGTGGGAGGGGGCTCCTCGATAAATAGCCCCAAAGAGGGAGGCCCAGTTCTAAGACTGCGAGAGGGTGCAGGCCGGGCTGAGGGACCCCCCCAACCCTCCTCCCCACTCCGAGTGCACAACTTTTATGCACTGGGCCTCTAGTAGTAATAATATTAATATTATCTGCTATATACTGATAGTATATAATGGTGGGCTTTATAGTTCCATATATATAGATAATTAAATATATTAAAAATACATTAATATAAAGAATTTGATCAATCAATCCTACAAGATGTGTATTATCACTCGTCTTACAAAAGATTCAGAGACATTAGGTAGTTTCCAAGGTCTCACAGCTGAAAAGTGGCACAACTGAGATCTGTCTGATGATTCCAGAGCTCCAGTTCTCCATCCCCGCTCCGGCCTCCAATCTCATTTGCTTTCAGAAGGTAATCTGCCCCTTCTGCAGACTTCTCAGACTCAGCCCAAAGCACCCGGAGCTGGAGCAATAGGATGCTAGGTCCCCAGGGAAAGGAAGTGTGTTGGGGGAGAGGGCTGGGGGAGGGCAAAGACTGGTCAGCGATTGAGTAGAGTCCAATTGGCAAGTGGGGTGGTGGTGGCTGTGGATTTGGAGTTGCAGTGTGTTCTTTCATTAGCATTTTAATGGAAAAACTTTCTTCAGTCCCAGGTGAGAAGCCTGTATCTGCATTTAAATGAAGATTTCCTTCTCCCTTGGTCCCCACTCCCTGCCCTCTCAAAGAATTCTGCACCAAAAGTTGAACCCACTCCATTCCCTCGGAGGAGCTGGCAGGCAGCCTCCCCACAGAGAGGTCTGGATCCATAGCCAGAGAAGAGAGGCCTACAGCTCTGGGCCTGGCACGTGATGCCCATGTGCAAGCTCAGGTCACACAGGCAGGGACGCACGCTGACCGCTGCACTTCATGTCCGACCAGCGCTCTGCTCACCAGTCCTTGAAGGTCCTGGGCCTGGCATCCCCCCGGCACCCACCAAGCCCAGGAACGCTTTATTTTGCCTCCACCACTGGCTCAGCCAGAGACCTGGACAGGGAGCCAGGGACATGTGGAAAGGGTTTTCCTTTCTCCGTTCTGCCAGGATCATGCTGTTCGGCTCAGGACGAGTCAGCTACTCTCTCTGACCACAATATCAGGGAGCTGGGTCAAACAGTGGTCATCTCAAAGGTGCCTGATGTTTTCTGTAACTCTGTGTCACCTCTCACAAATGGTTTCTTTGTCCCCACTGTCTGTAAAAGGAGGTCCCACTGACTCTGTGTGTGTGCGTGTGTGTGTGTGTGTGTGTGTGTGTGTGTGTACGTCCAGGGGCTGCAAGGCAAGGAGGGTTGGTGGATGCTGGAGATAAAATCAAAACCAGGGAAGTTAGGATAGGTGGGATGAAGGGAGAACAGGCTCCATGGCAGCTTGTGAGTGGGGAACTTGGAAGGGGCAGAAGTGAGTGAAGTGAGTAACCCCTGCTGGCTTTTGCAGGAACTGGGGGGGGGGGGGGGGGGGGGGGGGGGGGAGCGAGGAGCAGGGAGCAGGAAGAGGAAAGCATAGAGATGCAGATGCAGATGCCTTGCGTTTTAAAGCTGTGAGAAGCTATTAATCATTCAGGATGGGCTTCATAGATATTTCACAGGTAGGCTTGCATGGGAATCAGTCCTACCTCACTTGCCATCTCCTTACTCGGCTCCCAGGAGGGAGGTCGGGGACAGGAAACGCACTCTTTCCAAGGAGATGTCCAGAGACCGGACTTGTGGCAAGGCCAACATGTGCCACCAAGTCTGGCCTGATTTGTGAAGGGAAACTGAGGGAGACCTGAATCTGACCCCCATGTCGGCCCTGGGAAGGGGCCTCCTGGCGGAATCCAGTCTCCAGAGGAGCTACGGGCTTCCCGTGGGGACCCAGGCTGTTCCACCTCCAAGATGCTCTGAGGTGCCAGGGAGCATGAGGGGGCCATTCCTCTCTTCCTGACTTCCTAGTGAGATTCATGGGCCCTCTGCCCCTCCCTCCCTCTCTGAACCCCAGAAGCACTGTGGAGAGGCCCCAACAATTGGGCCCTTAAATACAGCGTGGGGTCTAAGGGGGAGACAGGTCCCTACACCATTCCTCCTCCTTGAAAATCTTCCCCAGGGAACATGTAGCACAGGGAAGTTCTTCGAGACGCCCCTCCATAAAAAACAAAACAAAATGATGCAAATGTTCAAGTCCCAGGGACCCACCGGGCCAGTGCTTTTACCTGCTGGCCGCAACTCCCCTCCCTCCTGACCTGCCTTTCTGCCCATCTCTCCTTCCCCCCTCATTCCTCCTCTCTCCCTCCCTCTGCTTCCACCTTCTAGTGCATTTCCCTGTCATCCCTTATCCCAGGGACAACCTCTCACTACTCAGCAGCCACACAGAAAACCATTCTGCCTTGTGCAGATCCTGCCTTTCCACGGCTCCTTCCATGGAGCCTCGTCTTAATATCCGCCATCCAGCCGCGTCCTGCTCCAGGTAGAAGCCATCAAGCAGGCAAGACAGACCTTCCCTGGGAGAGAAGGGGCTCTGGAGCATCTACCACAGAGATGTTATGAGAATTGAGCCCGGAAGCAGATATCAGCAGGCAGGTGGCGGCTACTCAATAAACACTACCCCTAGGCCTGTGATCCTCAAGCCCAGCTGCAGCGAGAGTCTCCTGGGCAGCTTTGTGCCCAGCTGCAGGGTATGATTTAGCTTGTGGGCGGCAGAGCCTTTCGCTTAAAGCACCCCAGCAGCTGACACAGAGATCAACAGCCTGGGCTTCATCTGCACAGACTGGCTGGGCTGAGAGAGGGGCAAGGTCCCAGGGGGCAATACCGAGGCCAGTGCAGGTGGATGCCAGGTCCCAGGGGGCAGGGCACCTGCCCAGGAGAGGGATGAGGACTGGGTCATGAGCAGGAAGAATGGGAGGATGTAGCATAGAGCAATGCAGGGGAGGAGACGGAGAAGGCAAGGGGGTCGGCCACATGAAGCCTGGTGCAGTTGGTGTTGGCTAGGCCGGGCGGCCCAACCAGGGCCGCAGCTAGAGGCAGCTAGAGGCAGCAGGCTCCCTGGGTGCTTCATGAGGCGAAGCTGACATACTAAAAATGGTACTTGGCGTGGGGATGGATTAGAAGCGGTTCAGACAGAGGCAAGGATTCAAGGAGGTCCTTGTGGTTGTGTGCAGAATGGGGAAAGTGAGACTTCAGGACATGGACATGGTGATGGAGCAGAAGGAGAGGAAGCCAAATCACAATCCACATAGAGGGCCTGGGTGACAGGCCTCGGGCAGAAGTGGGCAAGTGAGCATGACACCCTCTCTGTGGAGGGGTAAGGGATGCCAGAGTGGGAAAGGTAATGGTGTGGGGAGAGGAAGGCAGGAAAGATGTGGGATAACGAGGGGCGTTCAGGAAGTCACTGGATAGGGATGGTGGTGAGTGGGGAAGTTAGGATGAGTGAGGATGGTGGGATGGAAGTGCTGGGTGCCAGTGTACAGGGCAGGGCACAGGAGCCCCGGCAGCAAATGCAGAAATCATAAAGAAATTGATATTAGAAGTGGTACATCTACTTTATGCCATTTTCACAACTGTACCTTAGGGTAGATGCCATTGTTATCATTCTGTTTTAGAAATGAAGACTGAAAGGTTAAGCAACTTGCCCAGGTTCACACAGTAAGTGCTCAAATCCCAGAGTCCTGAGGCAGGACCACTCTCTCACCTTCCATGCCACACTGCCCCTCCACAGGGGATGCTGGGGCTGTGGCCAGAGCATCTTCCCTGGTGCTGCCCGGGTTTGCCCACCCCAGACATCTAGACGGGCCAGTGAACATGGTAATGAGGCCTGCGGCCTGTGATTGGCCAGGACGCTGGCGGCCAGGACTCACCATGAAGTAGTAGAGCTGCGAGGACCGGGCCATGAACTCAGGCCGACACACGGCCACACAGATTTCCACGAAGCCGGCGTGCTGGCTGGGCTTGGCCTCCCCCATCTCACACACGATCCTGCAGGGAGGAGAGGACAGACCCCCCCGGGTCACAGGACAGTCAGGGGCCTCCAAGCCGTGGCCCCTGGCCCCATTCTCTGCAGTAGGATCTCAGGTATGGGCAGGGGAGGAGGTAAAAGACACCCCAAGTTCCTTCCTGCAGGTGTCTTGCTGGGTTAACAGGAAATGAAGAAACGTGGTCAGGGATCCCCTGGAGGTCCTCTGTAAGTGGGGAGTCTAGGGAAGATTTCTAACCCGACACTCAGTTTCTAATTCATGAATTAACCACTCAGTTATGAATTACTGTGAATTTTAGCCAAGCTGCTTAGCGGATAGAGCTAGCAGGACTGGAGAGGTACAATGACTTAGCCAAGGGCCCACAGCAAACCACACAGGAGCCAGGGAGTAGACCTAAGGTTTTCAGGTCCTTGTAGGAGCTCATGGCCTGCCTCACCAAGGGCTTTCTGCTTCCAGCCCCAGCCAGGGGCCTGGCAGGTCAACAGACATGCATGTTGCAGTTGGGAGGAATCATACATTTTTCCCTTTTTATAAATTTTTACTGTTTTAATTGCAAAATTTGTTCATGAGAATGAGATAGTGCAGAAGTGTGCGAATAAAAAAGTAGTGACCCTTATTTTATTCCTAACCTCTCTACACGTTTGGTATATACAGTCTCCCAGGCCTTTTACTAGACCTGTGCATATATATGCATGTGTATATGTATATATGTATATGCATAAATTATATATATATGCATAAATTATATATATATTGTATATATGTAATTTCCATTTTACAAATGAGATAACTGAGGCACAGCAAAGTTAGTCAACTTGGCCCAACTATATATATTTGCACATAAATACACACACACACATACATGTATGTATATTTATGTTTTATATATGCACACACATAAACCAAATGTTATATATACACACACAGCTATATACAAATATACATATACAGTGTGTGTATGTGTATATATATATGTATATATATGTGTGTATATATATGTATATATATATAATGAAACATATATATGATTTAAAAAATAAAAATGAAACATAATTATCCACTCCTGTCTTTTGACTCAACATTACAGCATGGACTTCCTTCATGTCACTGTTCATACCATCTGCCCTCGACAGCTTCACAGTGTTTCACACTATGACTGTACCATCTATTTCCCTACTTACTGGTGAGGGTGCACGTGTTTTCACACATGCATGTGTGTGTTAATCTTGCATAGCCTTTCCTCGGACTTGTCCGAAGCCCTCTCTTCATTTTGGGATGGGTTGCCCTCCTGGAGGAGCTGCTGAGCTGGGAGCATTAACTTTAGTCTGTAATAAGTTTCTCTTCTCCCCATTGGTCACCTCTGCTTCAATTTTGTTTATGACGCCTTTTGGCACCCAAAAGCCTAAAGTTTAAACGTGGCTGTGTGGTCCATTGCTTGTTCTTTCACTTTATAGCTCCTGGGTTCTGTGCTTGTCTTAGAAAGAACTTCTGGGTGACAGTCCAGCCGAAATATATGCCCTTCTGTGAAGGTAACGTAATCAATACATGTTCAGTGTCAAAAACAGAAAGTACATAAAAACGCTTGCCTTATATACACCCCCCAATTGCATCATCCAGGAATATTCACTGTCTACATGTCTATGTACATGTTTCCAGTTTGATTTTCTCTCATAAAATTAATTAGAATCCGAATTCTGCTTGATAACCTGTGTTTTCCCTTAATAGACCTCGAGTGCACTCCTGGTTATGATTCTCCCATAGTATCAGACCTAATGGCTCTGTAGTTGACTATCCTATGCATATAAAAGAGCTTATTGAGTGAATTAATTCCTTATTTTAAAACACACAAACTGCCTCTAAATTTTTACTATTATAAATAAGTCCAAAATAAGCACATGCAAATAAATAGTTGTGCATTCTGGTTATGAAGGGGAAAGTCTAGAAGTAATATGGCCAGGCTAAAGACTTTTCACTCACATTTCCATGCTGCTTTCCAGAAAATTTATCCCAATCTACCTTCCCAACAAGAATGTAGGAACATGCTATTTGTCATGCCTCTCATCTGCTCTGAGCATTGGCTTTCAGACATTGTTCCTTGTTGTTTTAATTTGCATATCATTGATTACTACTGATGTTAAACATTTTTATATGACTTTTGCATGCACTTTGCTCATTTTGTGATATTTGCCTTTTATTTGTAAAACCTCTTTAATTTTTATTTATAAAACTATCTCTTAACTGTAATAGGGTATAAACATATACCCAGTCGATCATTCACATTTTTATACTGCTTACAATGATTTTTGAGGCACAAGCTTTAAGTCTTATTACTCGAATCTTCTAATCTTTCCCTTTATAATTTTCTTTTGCAGTTATACTTAGAACAGCTTTCTTTTCTTGAAATTAGATAAATTCTCACCTGTGTTTTCTTGTGATCCTTTTGCAGTTTCATTTTTACACTTAACTTTTTAATCTGTCTGGAATTTATTTTAGATTATATAGTGAAGTAAGGATCTGATCTTTTTTTTTTTTTTTCAGGGAGTTAACCAGCACCACTTACGGAATGATCTTTCCTTTCCTTGCAGGTTTGAAATGTCACTTTTATTACATACTACATATTTATACATCAGGATTATTTTTCTGGGTGTTTTATCTGATTCTACTAATCTAACTAGTACCACAATACTTCAATAGTGTGGCTTTAATGTATTAAAGTTTCTTTTTTTTCAAATCCTCACCCGAGGATATTTTTTACATTGATTTCTAGAGAAAATGGAAAAGAGGGAGGAGGGAGATAGGAGAGAGAGGGAGGAAGAGGGAGGAAGGGAGGAAGAGAGGAAGAGAGGAAGGGAGAAAGGGAAAGAGAGAGAGTGAGAAAGAGAGAAAGAGAGAAAGAGAGAGAAAGGAGAGAAAGAGGGAGAAAGAGAGAGAAATCCATATGTGAGAGACACATTGATTTGGTCCAAGTGCTGATGTTCTAACCACTGAGCAACCAGCCAAGGCTTTATAATATTATTTATTTATTTATTTATTTATTTATTTATTTATTTTAAATGTATTTTATTGATTTTTTACAGAGATGAAGGGAGAGAATAGAGAGTTATAATCATCAACGAGAGAGAAACATCAATCAGCTGCCTCCTGCACACCCCCTACTGGGGATGTGCCCGCAACCAAGTACATGCCCTTGCCTGGAATTGAACCTAGGACCCTTCAGTCTGTAGGCCAACGCTCTATCCACTGAACCAAACCCGTTAGGGCTTATAATATTTTTAATGTCAGGTCCCAAGTAGGACATTTCAGAGTTCCCCAAACCTCGCTATGTGGTAGCAGCCAGTTTGGTCCTAGCAAGAGCTGAGAAAGTTGAAAGCCACAGAATGATCTTCAGATAAATAAGCGATGATGGACCAGGGAGGGGAGTGCTACCAAGTCTGGAGCCTTCAATGATCTAATCTACACCTTAGGAAGAGCAGATGGAACTCAGGAGGAACTGGTGGTGGTGGTACTGATGGTTCCAGAACCACTGAATCCGGGCAGGATCCAGTGAGCAGAACCATAAAGGGCACTGACCTAGCTCAGGGAGGCCTTGCAAAGAGTCAGCAACTTATGACCATGGGTCAGGTAGCAAGGTTTCAGTCCAAAGGGGCAGCGAAGATGGTATAAATAGATTCCATTATGCTGGTAAGATTTCATGGTTGGGTTTGCTGGGCTGGAAAATTGTGTTTACTTATTTACAAGCAATGTGTGACTTGCAGACCTCTTCCACCAGGTAGATTAGAGGCCAGGTAGGTTGTTGAATGATCCTCTCAGTGGACCAGCAGATTTCACAAAGAGAAACTAACTATCCAAAGTACCCACAGGCCTGCCAGGGTGTGTGGAGTTTCATTTCTGTCTCCATACCGGGTAGCACAAGATTCATTTCTACTCTAATTGGGGCAGGACATGCATGGGGCGGTAGGGACAGCAGAGGGAGTTGGGGTAAGCAATAAAACTCACACTTCTCTCACAGATTTTAACTTTGCTCTGCCTCACTCCTACTCACCCCCATAGCCCAAGGGGGTAACAATCACTTCTCTCCCAGCCTTTCCCCCTTTTTACACTTCCCTCAATATGGCAGCTGGCTTGTCCAGGTGTGGGAGTCCCACCCCATCACCCTAGAATGTTAAGGGAATTCTTCTTTTACCTCCATAAGCTTTAAGACCACTTGCTGTTGGCTTATCTTCCCTCCCCTCCAGTACCGGTCTGTGTCTCAGGTCACGGCCACTTACTGTTCGGCAGGGATGTAGCCATCCACCAAGGGGCTGCAATCTACACCGGCCACCTTGACGTGGGAGGCAATGTCTCGAAATTCCAGGCCCAGGTTCTCTCCTCGGATGGTGACCTTGGTGCCCCCTTCCCGAGGTCCCGTCACTGGGATTATCTGGAGGGAGGAAGCATGGTGATTTGGCAGGCACCAAGATGAACCCATTACCCCCTTGCTGATGGCCAAGGATCAGCGCTTCCCGCTGCTGCCCAATCCCCAGGGCATCCGGATCTGGCACTGCCAGTGGGCAGGAGCTCTGGCAGAGCAGTCCCGGTTTGGGTGTGGGTTCAGGAGCAGTGATCGAAGACCCTCATTCATTTCCCTATTTCGTAGAAGAAGGAGCAGAACGTGATCCTCAGCATTACTGGGTAATTTATTGAAAATGGGGATTAATAGTAAAGCGTTTGGGTATTTGCTTGTGTTGGTTGCACTCTCAAGCTGCATGGGTAACCCTCCTGTGAACCTACAACCCTCCGCACTATGGGAACTAAGACCCTTCTCTCTCATGTCACTTTCCTTAACCAGATATTTTCTTTCTTCTTATCCTTCTCTTGTCCCCTCCCCTCCCCCAAATGAAATTGTAAGGCACCTTCTTTGTGTTCCTTTCAAGGTAACCTTTGTGTCTGATCCCATCTTTCTATCCCCCACCCGCTTCCTCTTCAGAGACAGGGCCTCTGAGAGCAAGGGCAGCGTCTCACTTCTCCTGTGGACTTTGCAATAGCAGCTTCGCTATTTCTTGAGCTGTAATGGCACTGCAAACTCCAACTCGCCAAGCAGCTCCCAGGAGTAAGCAGAGCCCTTGTCACAACCCCTTTACCTTCACTGTTTGACTTGGTTTCTAAGGGATATTTGTTTAATTAGACGTCAGCCTCATACACTGGCCAAAATGTCTAGCTGTCCCTCCGAAGATGTCACCTTCGGCGTTAAAACCCATGATTGGAATGTTAAGTTCCAACAAGGGCCTGCTTTGAGGGAGGGGCTCCATCCAGTTCACACGGTCTAGCTTTGGCATCCCGCAGTAGAAACCTTAGTGGCAGAGACATTTGTGTCAGCCTTTCTTGGCATTTGATAGACAGAGAAAGGCGCATTTCCCACTCCTGGGGCCTCTGAACATCAGCGCCTGGATCCTGGCCAATGTCAAGGGAATCACATTGGAAAGAAAGGACTCAGATAAGCCACTTCTTAGTAGGTCCTGCTTTCTCCCCCCTTTGAGGGCCACAAGGGGGGTTCCATCTGGGGGGACAGTGAAAGGTGGGAACGGGACTCTAGACTGGATTGCCCCAGGGTGGCAGCTTTGCCAGGGGGAGGCTGTTCACCTACAAAAGTCAAGATACTTCCTGCTTCTTACACATGCAGGCATGCATGTCTGTGAATGAGTGTGCACATGAGTGTGAGGGTTTACACATGCATGTTCTCCTTGCATTGGAAATAAAGTCTCTTTGGAGAGAGAGACCCATCTGTGTGAGGGAGGTGGGCAGATATAGGGAGGCAGAAGAGGAAGTCCGTGTTCTTCTCAAATGCCTGCTCAGCCAGTCCTCAAAGTGCAGCTGGTATCCGGCAGCAGCTGCTTGATCTTCCAGCCCCGGCTTGTCATTCTGAGAAAGGAAGCTGACCTCTGGTCCAGCCCTTGGTTCCCTGGTTCTGGGAGGGCCGATGCCAGGATGGAGCCAGTGAACAGCCTCCATCTCATGAACATTTGCCATCTTCTCTCTGCAATTTTCTTGGTCTCGGGCCAAGAAGAAAGCCAGCCCCTCCATTTTTGCCAGACACGCCGTTAGTCACACCTGCCGAGGTGGTTTCTTGTTAGGGGCTCTGGGTGGGGGGTTCAGAGGGGTGGCTGGAATGTGGAGTGGGGAGATGAAGACCTAAATGAACCCAGAGGCAGTGACTCCCTGGGCTTAGCCATGGACAGTGATGATTTTGTTGATGATGAACAGGAGGAGGAATATGGGAAGATCCTTGTAGGCTGGGCATAGATTCGCTCGACCATCCTTACAACTCCACTGTGAGATAGTTGGTCAACCAGACCCATTGCACAGGTGAGCAAGCTGAGGCACAGAGACAGTGATGAATTAGCTTTGAGCCACCCAGCAATTAGCCTTCAGAGCCAAGACTCAAACCCTTGACCCCCACCCACACAGCCTCTGTCATAGGTCCACTGCTTGGTGAGTCTGCCGCTGATGGAGTGTCGCGGCTTGGTCACCAAGAGAGACTCTTTGAGACAAAGGGAAGGCGGTGAGGACTTCGTGTCCTTTCTGACACAGCTTCCGTGGAGACTCCAACTGGACAGTGGAGCCCCTCTCTGCTCTCGCCTTCCTTTGGCCAGGCATGGCCTCAGGCCCAGCCCTAGGCAGGACCCCTGGACAGCGGCTTACCTCTGTGATTCGAGGGTTCGTGCACTTGCTGTTGGGGCCCGCCAACTCCAGCCACGGGCTCTCATGGATGGGGCAGTGCTGCCGCAGGGTGCACTGGCCCTGGAGCTGGCACCAGCCGCACTGGAAGTCAGGGTCTGCCTTGAGGCACAGGCCGCAGCTCTCGCGCATGGCTCCACACTTATAGAGGTGAACTGCAGGCAAAGGTTGAGAGTGGGCTGGGGTCGGGGCTACGAAAGGTGGGGAGTGTGGCATGGAACACAGTCCCACTCTTTGGTGATGGTTCTGGACTGGGAAGGCCAGTCTCCCTCCAGCCAGCCCTGCTCACTGCTCCTCTCCCAGGGGCCACACTGCCCACGCTGAGCCCATGCCCTACAAGTCACAGAGCAGTGGGGATGGTGGAGAGGCTGCGGAGGGGGAGCTCAGGCCAGAGGGTGGGGGAAGAATGACACCTGCCCACGAGTGCAGAGTAGCTCTCCCCTTCACCCCTGCCCACGCCCGGGCCACCTTACATACCTCTGTTCTGAGCTGGGTTGTCGATGTTAAAGTGCCCATTCCACACGACCGTCAGCTCCACCGGCAGGTTGTTAATCTCCATCCCTTCATAGGAGTACTGCAACCAGGGTGGGGAGGAAAGAAGAGAGCTGGGTCACAGGTTTCCAGAGGGGCTGGATGTTCAGCCTGGAACCCTGAAAAGCACACGGGGCTTGAAACTGGTCCTGAGTGTGTGTGTGAGTGTGCGTGTGTGTGTGTGTGTGTGTGTATAACACATGTGCACAGGCATGCACATCTGTGGGTGGGCAAGGTGGGGAAGCAGGTATCAGGGGACAGGGCACAGGGCTTAGGAAGTGGGAGCAGGGGAGGGTCAGGATGGGTGGGGTACCCATTTGGAACGCAGCTTCCATGGAGCAGCTTTGAGTGAGCTACTCAAGCACCTTGGTGGAGACCTTCTCGGGCTTTCCCCAGGAAGTTTAACGGAGTCCCAGCCTTTCAGACTGTGGTGCTAAGAGGTGGGAGGAGTGCAGGGTGAGGTATTGCCAGGGATGGAGGGTGGAAGGGCAGTCCCCAGGCATGCCAGCCCCCATCTGCCTTCTGAGAGCAGCATTTCTCAATCCCAGAGGGGAGGCTGTGGAACTCAGAGCCTGCCCAGCAGCACTTCCAACCCTCCCTGGTGTTTTCTCATCACCACACAGACCACCTCCACTGGGGGGAGGAGGGGGAGGAAAATGGGGTGGAGAACTGAGAGGCTTTCTATGCAGGAGAAGCTGAGGTCTGGTGACTTGTTGGAAGTTCTGGTCCAGAGGATTTGTTTGACAGACTCTTAAAAAAATATATGTATATGTATATGTATATGTATATGTATATGTATATGTACATGTACATCTATATCTATATCTATATCATCTATATCTATATATAATTGATTTCAGAAAGGAAGGAGACTCATTGATTGGCTGCCTCCTGCACATCTCGTACTGGGGATCGGGCCCATAACCGGGGCATGTGCCCATGACTGGAATCAAACCTGGGACCTTCAGTCTGCAGGCCAATGCTCTATTCACTGAGCCAAATCAGCTAGGGCGACAGGCTCTTTTAACTTAGGGCTTAAGATTGGCACGCTAGGCCGTGGGGCTGTGGATGGTTATGACAGGCAGCCACCATTCCCACAGAGCTAGCACAGCACCTTCACCAGGGAGGGGGCCACAGAACCTATGGACACACCAGCTGGGGAGCCTGCCCTCTGTGCCTCTGCTTCTGTAGGCAATCTGTAGAGGCTTCTAAAGAAGTTGGGATCCTAATCTGAGAAACCACCCCAGATTCCTGAGTTCCAGAATGTGCTCCAATGTGAACTGTGCCCAGCTGCCCTTATGCCACAATATACAGCTTTCTCCAGGGTCTACCCTACGCTCTGAAACTCCTCACTAACTCCCTGGTGAGTGTGTCCAACCAGGAGCCACGGTCAGTGTTTCCTCACAGAGCATCCACCCTCTCACAGCACCTCCCTGTGACTGACAACACCGGGGCCGGGACCAGGGCCTGGGCTCAGCCGAAGAACAAAGCCAAGCTCCCTCACCCGCCCTGCAGAAACAACCGTGGGGTTTTTGGATCAGCTCAGAACACAGCTGCTGACTCATAAGCTCTTTGCCACACAGCTCAGTCATCAGCTCCCCAGAGATTTGTCTTTTGCGTCTGGGTCAGGCTGGATCCTGAGTTTTCTCACAAAATCTCTTCTACTCGACTGGAGGTTCTCCTGGACCACCTTCCTCAGAGTCATCTAGGGGCCACTGGAGGCAAGTCCCAGGGCCCCACCCAGACCTGCTGAAGGAGGCTGAGGAGATGGGGAGCACTTTGGGTAAGCAACTCTACTGTTGCTGGTGGTGGAGAGATGTGGAGGGGGACAGAGGGAGAAACTCCCTTCCAGACCTCCCTCCCTATTTCTGCCCCCAGTCAAGCTCCACGCCCTAGCCTTCCAATCTCCCTCCTCCACGGCCCTATGGGGGAGTATGGTGAGGGTGGCCCAGGCTGTGGGCTAGAGGCTCTGGCTCTGCCAGGCTTTGCCCAGGACCCAAAGAGATACTAACAAGCTCATGGCCAGGGGCATGTTGAACAAAGATGGACAGAGCCTTCAGGCCCCTCTCAGGAAGGACCTGAAGTCCCTCACAGAACAAAGCAGGAAATTCTGTATCGGCCACGTGTGTCTGTGTTTGTGTTTACAAATGTGTCCATATGGGAGAAGAGATCAGTGCACAGAACTATATTATCTGCCTGTTCATACATGTGCACATGCACACACGTATTGCCATGACTCTGCAGTGCCCAGCTGTGGGCAAATGACCTACGTCCCAGTGTCCCATTTGTACAGTGGGCACAGTGGGACTGCAAACAGTGCCTACCTCACAGCAACACTGAGAGGGTCGGAGACAGCCATCCAATGCCCGGAGCACAGGGCTGTTGAGTGGAAGGAGCACTCAACTGTTACTGTGTATAGTATTTACACAACGCCAGGGATGCTGTGCAAAATACATTTGTGTTCCCTGTGTTTATATTTATGTGGAAGAGTAATAGCAGCTGTTTATTGAGTGTTTATGCACCAGACACCTGGTACATATGGAGGTGTATGCATATGAGAATGCTTGTATGTTCAGATGTACTTGTGTGTACACCTATATTTTTTTCCCCAAAGAAAACTGAAAATAAAAAAGACTTTAGGGATCAAATATGCTAAGTGCTACTTTCTCTTTCTCTCCCCAGTTCCTGGGATCTTGATTATGAAATATTATGGAAATCATGAACCCTCCACCACTCGCTGAATCTCTAGAGAAGCCACTCTCCTTCCTGGACACCCTCGCTCGCCCATGACCTGCATCCCACAGGGAGAGCGAGTCAGGCAGACAGCTGGGGAGTCTGGACCACTGGCTCCCATTCTCTCTGGCTCCCCACCTCCGTGCACTTAGCATTTATATAGCTCTCGGCAATCAGTGGGCAGTTCATCTGCACAAAGCCCAGAGCCCAGGGAAGAGTGTTTCAGGCTCCCAAGGGCCAGAAGGTTAAGTGTCTCAATCAAGTCTGGCTCTCTGCCAGTGGATGACCTTGATCGTGACCTTGGGAAGTGTGAACTTCAGTTTCTCTACCTCCTGAAGCAAAAAGATAAGCTCTGAGCAATTGGGACATGCTTTCCTCCAACCACTCTCTGGTCCTGAGTTCTGAGGTATTTTGCTGAAAAGCCAACAAAAAAATCTGAGCAACATAAGAAGCCCATGCATCTGTGTCCAGGGCCCCAGAGGCCTTGCAGACCAGCTCCCAGCTGTGCTCCAGGAGGCAGCAAGGACACAACACCTCCCCCCCCCCCGGCCTCACCACCCCTGTGTAGCATGTGGTAAGTTAGGGCACTAAGAGAACATGGGAGGCCTCCATAGGTTTGTGGAATCTGGGCTGGGCCCCAGGATCTCGGCCAGCACTGCAGCCAGCCTGCTGCTGCTATGGCCCACTTACTCCAGAATGCCCACACTGTCTTCCCTCCAACACTGTCTGTGAGCTTCCCTGTCCCCCTGGGGCTCCCTGAGGGCTGCAGTGATTGGCCCAGGGCCTGTCCCCAAATAGTGGCTGGAAGCGACCTGCCTGCCCACTCAGCCCAGCATCACGCCCATGCCAGGATTTCCTGTGTCTCTTTTCCTTGTCTGTTCTCTGAGACCTGTCACCCACCTCTCTGTCATCCCAAACCCAGGGTTTCTCTGTTACAGCCTCTCCCATCCTCCCCATCCAGAGAGCTCACTTAGGTAATGAAACAACCTAACTTCCTCACAACCCTCTCTGATGCAGACCAGCCCCTGCTCCCCGGGTAACACCAAGGCTGGGGTATAAAGTGCTCTGCTGCTAATTTTCACTCAAACTTTGATCAGGGGGTGTGTTAGGAGCCCAGCACTGCCATTATTATCGCACTGGTACTGCCCAAGGGGCGTACGTCAGTGCCCCCAGGAGACCGAGCCCCCAGCCCTTGTTCCCAGGAGGCTCTGATTTCACCCACACATTCAGGGAGTTCCCTGGGACCCCCAGAGGGCTCATTCATAGAGTCAGGCCTTGGCTCAGGAAATGCTGAGGTTATCTGAGCACAATCAGCTTCCAATTCTGTCAGGGCCGCTGGGAAACACGCTAGTCCCCTAGGATGGACGGGGTTTTGACCCAGGGGCTTATGGGACCAACTCAGGCTGTCATCTGGGTTATGATGGCCTATTAAACTGAGTTAGTGGAAGCATAGGGGCCCAGCCTTGTGACATCTGGGGAGCTGAAGACTCATCAGAGGCCGCAGAATCTGCCCTGCCTCCCGACACCTCTGAGGCCTGAATCTCCGGGGCAGCTTCCCTGGGGCATGAGGCGGTTTTCTTCAGGGTCTGAATCCCCAGCTGCCTTCTGCTGAGTCAGATGTGGGGCTCAGACTCTCTTCCCTCAGGGACTTGCTTATTTGGGGGAGAACCACTTGAGCCAAACCCTTGGGGCTCCTCCGCTTGGCCTCAGGATTTAGGAGGAAAGCGGAGGTGTTTAATATCCCCTTTGCTTGCAGGTTTAATCTGGGGCACTGCAGAACTCTGAAAACCAGGCCGGCCGCCAGGGGAGCTGTGGTCTGGGGTTTCCAAGGTTGAGAAGTCAGTTGTCAGTTCAGTCCTGAAATGCTGAGCCATCATGGGCAAGCATGTGGGCCTCTCTGAGTGCCACTGGCCCCAAATGGCTTCCTGCAGGGAGAGTGGAGTTCCCCCCCCCAAATGCTTTGCTCCGCATTTCCAATCACACTCACCATGGAAGCGATGAGGAGGATGAATGCAGGCCATGTGACACAAGAGGAGACCCCAAATCCAAGCCCGGCCAACTACTCACTAGCTGTACCTGTATATCCATGTCACTTACCCTCTAGGCAGGGGGTTGGTGGGTATTCCAATGCACATGGAGCTGCAGGCCTTGTAAGGCCTGCCTCAGCATTTACTTCTGTAGTTATTAGATTTAATTCTTAAAGAGGGTCCCCAATTGTATAACTCTCAGCCCCACAAACCTCGACCTGCCCCTGCTTGTAGGCTTCCAGTTGCTCTTTTATACAGAGAAAATGTCACAGGTCTCCAAAGGCAATGCTTGTCTCTGAGCTTCTGGGTGCATAGACGTAGCCCAGAAAGCGAGTGAGAGCAGGCAAAGCCCTGACTGGGAAGGCCCCGCGGGGAGGAGGTGATGGCTGGAGTGATGCTTGGAGAGGGTTCAGTGCGTGGTGCCCAGGAATCAGGTGGCAGCCGAGCGAGGGTTTCCTCAGTGGGTAGGGTTTGTGCGGACCTGAGCAGCACACCCTCCAGCAGCCCCTGTGGGTGCGTGTCTGGCTCAGAAGCCTCCTGTGCTGGGACACAGCCTCAGTGCCGGTACGAAGGCAGTGGGGCCTCTGTGGCTCACACGAGGCACTCGGCTCAGCCCTGGCAGGAAGGCGGGGCCCAGGGTCCCCAGAGCTCCTCCACGGAGAGTGGCCATGCCAGTTGCTGCCCACAAACAGTGCTCAGCAGCCCCATGGCTGGTCTAAATCCCCTCCCCTCAGCCCCTCTCTTGGGCAGAGCACTCTCCTGGCCACAACAGGGCCATAACTCTGGCAGGCATTGGTGCCCTGGAGCCCAGTCCTTGCTGGGTGGTGGGCAGTGTGGGGAGAAGTGAGCAGTTTGGGGGTGTCTGGGGAAGCCCTGCAGAGTTGAGTGCATCTGGCTCTGGAGGAGACAAGGATGGGTGGGGGAGGGTGGAGCTGCGCGTGGGCTGGCACTCACAGAGGTGTTCTGGCACTGCACGCTGGAGCTGTTGAAGCGCAGGGCGGGCACCCTCTGCTCGCTGCCCTGGATGTTGAGGACGCACTCGTACCCTCGCTGCCCGGACTGCGGCTGCGGCAGGTTCTTGGCCTTCAGCGTGATGGGCTTGATCACCTCCACAGGCACCAGGATCTTGTCTACTCGCAGCAGTTGGGGGCAGTCCTGGGGACAGAGAGCAGGGCTCAGACGGGAGCAGAAAGCCAGAGATGCCAAAGGCTCTTATCTGGAACCTCTCCAGACCTAACCTGCATGTTCGCCCCATTTCTCTCTCCCTGAACAGTCCTGGGCACAAGTGCCCACCCCCAGCCTCTGTAGGAGGGAAGGGGACTGAGAGATTCCGGGTCCCAGAGTCACCATCTTGAGGCCACTTTTCCCAGATAGGGAAATTGAGTCTCAAAGTGGGGATGGGCTCTGCTTAGGGTTCCATAGCTCATCAGATGCTCAGCAAGCCCTGAGGTCTTCTCGCACCCACTTTCAATGACAGAGGGGCTCACATGTGCTTTCAGACCCCGGAGGGATGGCTGCCAAGTTGCCTGATGGCCTCCCATCTGCCCTCCCCCACAGCCTCCTCTGACTCTGAGTGCCACTGAGTGAGGGTTTCTGTCATCCAGAGGCTGACCCTGTCCTCCAGGTTCCGTTTTAATGGCTTCCAGACTCTGACACTCCTGGAGGCCTCCTCGGGCACCCCTCCTATCTAGCAGACTTAACAAGGCTGGCTGGAAGACCCTTCGCACGTTGGGCTACCGAACCCTTGATCAGTCTCAGGCTGCCCAGAGGGAGCACGTGGGCAGATCAGAGTGAGGCAGTGCCCTGGCTGCGGCTCTGGAATGGGAGCCTGGGCCAGAGCAGGAGGATCCATCAGAGCCTTCCATTCATGGGCTGAGCCTGGCATTTGGGAAAGTTCTGGAATGGGCCCAGAGACCTTTAAATCCAGAACCTTCTGACATAACTCTGGGGTGCCCAGGGAAACGCCCCTCAGAACAGATGCATGCTGACCAGATGCTAGCAATGGGCACTCTCATCCAGAGCCCAGCAGGACCCAAGGATGTTTGGGAATAGAGGCGGCAGATCACTGGCCCGGTGTCCTGGGAAGTCAGCTCTACCCAGGAAAGGCTGGGGGAGAATGGGGTCCATAAAGAGTGTGATGCTCTGCCCAGCTGAGGGGTGGAGGCTGGCTTGTTTCTGGGTTTACAGAGGTGGGTGGAAGAAGTCAGCATTCCTGGCTGCTTGACATGGGCAAGAGTGAGGGTTTCTGTAAACACCAGCAAGGCCTGGGCTCCCTGTGTCTGGCAGGTCCACCATTCCTTGATTCCTATCACTGTGGCACTTTTGGGGCAAGTTGGCCATCAAAAGCATGGCACACACATCTCAGTAGATGCTGACCCCCACCCCGGCACCTTCCCCAGCAGAGAGTCAGAGGAGGCTGTGGGGGAGGGCAGATGGGAGGCCATCAGGCAACTTGGCAGCCATCCCTCCGGGGTCTGAAAGCACATGTGAGCCCCTCTGTCATTGAAAGTGGGTGCGAGAAGACCTCAGGGCTTGCTGAGCATCTGATGAGCTATGGAACCCTAAGCAGAGCCCATCCCCACTTTGAGACTCAATTTCCCTATCTGTCCATTGGAGAGAACCCAAGGACCCATTCAGCTCTGGCCAGTCCTGATGCCATGATTGGAGTGGTCTCTGCTGTCCTTCCTGGTCACCCTGCAGCCTTGCTTCAGTGGGGTAAGGGGCAGAGCCATAAATTGACTCCCTTCCCTGCCTGCACTTTTATCCTAAAGAGCAGGTAGGAGGGAGCAGATACAGCAGTCACTCCTGGGTGTGCATCCAAAGGAACTGAGCAGGGAATCGACTGGTACTTCCCATGCTCAGAGCAGCAAATTCACAAGAGCCAAAAGGTGGGAGCAACCCAACTGCCCATCACTGCATGAGTGGGTGAACAAAATGTGATGTATAATACGATGGATTATTATTTCACCTTAAAAAAACAGGGAATTTTAACACATGCTTCAACATGACCGAATCTTGAAAACATTATACTAAGTCAGTGGTCTGTAAACTCATTAGTCATCAGAGCCAAATATCAACAGTACAATAATTGAAATTTCTTTTGAGAGTGAAATTTTTTAAACTTAAACTATATAGATAGATACATTGTTATTAATTTAATTAAAGTCCTCCTAAGCTGGCATTTGCTAAAAACTTAAGGGGCCAAAGAGCCGCGTGTATCTTGCAAGCCGCAGTTTGCCGACCACTGTCCATGAAACAAGTCAGTCACAGTCTGTGAAACAGTGGGATAAATATTACACAATTCCACCCCTATGAGGTCCCTAGAGTTCTTAAGTTCACAGACACAGAAAGCAAAATAGTGGATTCCGGGGGGTGAGGAAATGGAGAGTTCTTGTTTAATAGGTACAGAGTTCAGCTGGGGAAGATGAAAAAGTTCTGGAGGTGGATGGTGAATAACGACGTGAATTCACCTAATGGCACTAAACTGCACCCTTAAAACCAGCTAAGATGGTAAATTTAGCATGTATATTTTACCACCTTTAAAGGGGAGCAGCAGGGAGATAGGCAGTGGAGGGGTTGGGGGGCTGAACCAGCACCAGGCCCTGAGGCTCTGGAGTGAGTGGGTCCCAGAGACTCTGAGGCCCACATACAGAGAGGGTCTTAGTAGCTTCATCCTGGGCCCCTTTCTCAACTGCCATCCCCACCGTCCCCCCAGCAAGATGAGAGTGCAGGGCACAGAAGACAAGAGCAGGTTTGTAAAAAGGATGATGCTCAGGACTGAAACGGGGCTTGCTGGAGAATCAGGAGGGACAATCTCTTGAGCTGAGGGTCCAGGCCAGTCCTGACTCCCCTCTCCACTCAACTCCTGAGCAGCCCTCCTCCCCTAGAGCATGTGCGAGCCTGGCCTTCCTCCTGCTCCATCCACATCTGCATGGGAGAGTCTGGCTGCATCTGGAGTTGGAGCAGCAGTGCTGGACTCTCGCCTCCATGTCTCACAGCAAAACGATGCTGCTCGTGAATAGTACACTGAGGGTGTCTAGAGCTTCACAGTCTTTAGAACCAACCTAAGGGATCTCTCTACTTTGCAAAGGAGAAACCGAGGCAGGGAGAGGAGAAACAATGACTGTGTCAGCCGATGTGCTGGCAGCTAACAAACTCAGATGCCAATCCACCCCTCTTCCCTTCTCTTAATGAAAGAGGTCAGTTCCTACCGGCCGGTGGGACCACCTCAGGATGGGGTGGTGGGTTAGCAAGGATCTCCCTGAGACCAGCAGGACCAGGGGAGCTTGGAGGCAGCCTGGAACCTTGCCTGGGGGCACACTGATTCAAGTCGAGGAGACAGGCTAAAGCACAAGCTCTCTCCCCCTGTGAGACTCTCACTGAGGCTTGTTATGAGTTCTCTAATGAGTCCTGATTGTCAGTGGCCCCATAAAGCCTTAGTTTGCATATAAAAAGGTTGGCAGCTCTGAGAGTAAGTTCATTAATAATAATTGGAGAGGCCCAGGGCTGGGGTGGGCCCACTTTCCTCTGGCAGCACTGCTGATTGACCCTGGTATCCCTCCTAATTGAAATGTAATGTGGCAAGTTTTTCCTAGGCAACAGGCATGAAGGGACCGCCACCACACTGCCCCTTCCTCCCACTCCAGCTCCCTGATCCCGCCCTGCCTCATGCAGAGATCCAAGGACAGACCACCCCGAGGTCTAATGTTCCTGGGAACTTCAGAGAAATCTCCATGTTTCTCACGACTCCTGTCTGAAGCCCACTGTCTGGGAGCTCAGGTCGACCACACCTGTCCTCACCTTGGAGCTTCCTTAACTAGAAAGAGCCGAGTTGGGGAACCATGTACTTTTGAGTACAAATCTGCCTCCCTCCTGCTATTGTCTCAGCCAATCATTGCTTGGCTTAACGAGGCATGAGGATTAACCACTCCTCTTCCAAAGGGCATTTGGGGGAGTCCGTGAGCTGCCATACATAAAGTGGCTGGCATGGAGCGAGGGAGCAGTCAACAAGTGTTTGTTCCTTCTTCATTTTTGTCCCTCAATTCAGGCTGCACCTTGGCCCTCCATCAACTCCCTTTTCCCACTGCATTTTCGAAGGATCCCTCTCCCCTGCTCCAGCCTGTGTGTTTTCCACACACCCCATGCTCCTGCTATCCAGCTTATTCCACCCTTCTTGGCCTCAGATCTGAAGTGGAGTGTGACAAGGGTTCCAAACACAAAGGGAACAGGTAGGGGGGTCCCAGCTCTGTCCACTGCTCTCCTAACAGTCGGGGACTCCTCTGGGAGGTGACATCCTGAAGCTGCATGTTGTACATGCTCTGAGGCACACCTCCACCAGACAGGCAACCAAGTGACTCAGGCAAGTCCCTCAGACCCGGTGGGGCTGGCTTGGATTAGATGATTTTTATGGTTCCAGTTCTATTACTAAACCAATAGATAATCTGGGACAATCATATAACCTTCCAGAACCTCAGTTTTGCCATCTCTAAAATGGGGATAACCATGCCTGCTGCACTAGCTCAAAGTGTGGTTTTCCAAACACTGACCAACTGAATGGTTACTGGAAGGGTTGGGGGCTTATGGGGCAGGAGTGCCTCCTGGAAGTGGCTATTCACTTACCATGAATATTTTAACATTATAGTTAACGGTGTATTGCAATTGGTACCATGGTACAGGCAGGTATGGCTCTGGTAGACAGAGTATGATGTTGTTATGATTCCAGTGAACATGGTTAACATGGTACAAGGGGTATAAGGATTCAGTCCAATGTACATTCTGCCACCTCCATCCCCTGACACAAATGTTCCCATGTGCTTTCTTGTTTCATAGCACAACACATATGATCCCCCCCATTGGTGTTCACGATAAAGAAACTCAGGACATCAGTTACCTACTCCGTTCAGTTCCCACAATGACAGTGAACAAAAGCACTTAGCCCTGCTCATCTGACTTTCGTCCCAGATGATTATCCAGCCCCCACCTGGAATTCCTCAAACATACTATAGTACTTCCTTCTCTTTTCAAGAAATATATTTCTTTGAATTATCCTTTGAAAAGGCTAGCTCCCTCTCAGAGGGTGGGAAATACCTGCATTTAGCAAGATGGTTTGGAGGCAAACACATGCAAACCCTGAGAATGAGATTCCCTCTGAGGCT